TGTATTTTATAAAAATAATTTTACGTCGTGTGCCACTTAATCTTAGAAAAGTTTAAAATAATAAAAAAAAACTTTTAGCAAAAGTAGAGAAAAAAAAACACCACAATCTGCACACACCCACTCAACTGATCTTGCAATTATTTTTGGATTGCTCAATATTTAATAATGAAAAAACTAACAGACAGATAGACTGTTATTAACCACACAGTTTTTATATATTACTTTAAATATCTTGTATATATTTTTTTTTATTTATTATATTATTGGTTTGGCAAAATGCCGGCAAACCAAACATCAAGTTAATGTGTTAAATGAGTCAACATTTTTTATTATTTAATATTTTAAGTAAAAATTTACAATTTGTTTATGGTTTTTTTATACCCTACACCACTTTAGTGGGGAGGGTATATTGGATTTGTGCTGATGTTTGTAACATACAAAAATATTCGTCCTAGACCCACCTTATACCAATCGGCTTAGAATCGTTTTCTGAGTCGATTAAGCTATGTCCGTCCGTCCGTCTGGCTGGCTGGCTGTCCATGTAAACCTTGTGCGCAAGCTACAGGTCGCAATTTTCAAGATAATTGGATGAAATTTGGCACGCACGTTTTATTTGACCCAAGGACGAAGCCTATTGAAAATGGTTAAAATCGGTCCATTATTTCACCTAGCCCCCATAGAACAGAACCCCCCGAAAAGGGCTTCTGAGCTCATAATTATGTTAAATATACAGATATATCGATAAAATACGGCACAACTAAGTTTTATAGAAATCTTGATAACCCTGCCAAATTTCATAAAGATCGGGCCCCATTTGACCCTAGCTCCCATACAAAGTCCCCTTCAGAAAATTACTTGAATGTCCCAAATTAACTTATAAACACAAATATCGCGATGAAATTCAGCACAATAAAATATTATGTAAATATAAATATATTCACAATGTTTTATCGGGCTTGGTCCATATTTGCCCCTAGCCCCCATATAAATCCTCTTTCAGAAAATTAGTTTTTCATCCATAAATTGCTTAAATGTATCGGAACAAGGGAATATTGAAGATAAATGCGATATTATCAAAAATAAATCACATTTAATATTCATAACTGGTGTAGGGTATCATATGGTCAGCCACGCCCGACTATACTTTCTTACTTGTTTTAGCTTGAGAATATTTCGTCATTGTTTGTATACAAAAACAAAACAACAATATAAAATTGCAATAAATTTTGAAAAATAATTTGAAAATGTTTAGGCATTACTTCAACATTGGGGAGGTAAAATTTAACATTTACCTAAAATGCCTTTAACAGCTCTACTAACATCTTTTTCCAAATTTAATTTTTTATCACAAAAATAGCTATTTGATATAATATTGAAATCTATATTTGTTTATAACTATTATAAACCGTGTTATTTAGCTGTGTAGTAAAATAATTTTTAACCACATTTTTGTTTTTTTTCTATAACAATAAATAAGCAATTAGAAAAATGTTTGTAATTTTTGTAATAAATATTATTTGTTTAAATATTAATTACCTATAAATTATTAGGAATTAAATGTCAATAGGTATTTGGTTAAACTGTGTATCTAACTTTAAAAAATTAAAAATTATTTAATGTTTTTTTTGCGTTTTAAAAATTAACACAGCAAAAACTTTGCTAATGACTAGTAAATATACTACAACTTACTTTTCAATAGCTACTAACTATATAATGTCCGCATTACTCTTAAGTTGGAAAACTGGAGGTTCACACTATGCGTCTTAGCGGCAAAGCATTTCGTGCTTTTCATACATTCTTTGCATCCTACGCATCTAGTTATATGCTACACTTCTTAAGCGTCAAATGTTTGCTTTATTTACAAAGAACTTCATGTTTTTTTAAGTTTTTGTTTATATTTTCACAATTTAACTCGTTTTAGTTATTAAAATTGATAAATACACATTAAAAACAGAATATTAATTGTCAAAATCAGCTGATATATACGTGCGCCGCTTACGAAGCTTACAAAAGTAGAAAGTAGATCTACTTTAAGCATTCTACGCGTCAAGGCATCCTACGCTTTTGTGCTTGTAACTTTTAGCACACAATAACATTGATTCTACTTTTTTGACAACCGCTTAGAATGCGAAGAAGCGTAGAACGTTTTGTGTGGACCTCCAGCTAAAGTATACAACACGCGTTGAGATGGCAACGCATTTCACGCCTTTATAACTTTTCGCGCTTTATAAACTGCAAGTTACACAATGCGCCAAGCTTTTGAATATTTTTTTTTTATTTCTATACCAACACTGACCGACAAGTTGAAAGTTGCTAAACTTTTAGCTGCAGATGCGTTACAAACTACAGTGTGTAACTTGTTAAATGAAAATATCCAGTTTCCAGTTTTTTTGACAGAAGCCTAAAACGCGTGTTGTGTACATGCCCTTTAAGCACTGTAATATTGAGTTCCATATAATCATATTAAAGAAGGTTTTAACTATTTATCTATTTATCTATCTATCTATCTATCTATCTATCTATCTATCTATCTATCTATCTATCTATCTATCTATCTATCTATCTATCTATCTATCTATCTATCTATCTATCTATCTATCTATCTATCTATCTATCTATCTATCTATCTATCTATCTATCTATCTATCTATCTATCTATCTATCTATCTATCTATCTATCTATCTATCTATCTATCTATCTATCTATCTATCTATCTATCTATCTATCTATCTATCTATCTATCTATCTATCTATCTATCTATCTATCTATCTATCTATCTATCTATCTATCTATCTATCTATCTATCTATCTATCTATCTATCTATCTATCTATCTATCTATCTATCTATCTATCTATCTATCTATCTATCTATCTATCTATCTATCCTATCTATCTATCTATCTATCTATCTATCATCTATCTATCTATCTATCTATCTATCTATCTATCTATCTATCTATCTATCTATCTATCTATCTATCTATCTATCTATCTATCTATCTATCTATCTATCTATCGATCTATCTATCTATCTATCTATCTATCTATCTATCTATCTATCTATCTATCTATCTATCTATCTATCTATCTATCTATCTATCTATCTATCTATCTATCTATCTATCTATCTATCTATCTATCTATCTATCTATCTATCTATCTATCTATCTATCTATCTATCTATCTATCTATCTATCTATCTATCTATCTATCTATCTATCTATCTATCTATCTATCTATCTATCTATCTATCTATCTATTCTATCTATCTATCTATCTATCTATCTATCTATCTATCTATCTATCTATCTATCTATCTATCTATCTATCTATCTATCTATCTATCTATCTATCTATCTATCTATCTATCTATCTATCTATCCTATCTATCTATCTATCTATCTATCTATCTATCTATCTATCTATCTATCTATCTATCTATCTATCTATCTATCTATCTATCTATCTATCTATCTATCTATCTATCTATCTATCTATCTATCTATCTATCTATCTATCTATCTATCTATCTATCTATCTATCTATCTATCTATCTATCTATCTATCTATCTATCTATCTATCTATCTATCTATCTATCTATCTATCTATCTATCTCTATCTATCTATCTATCTATCTATCTATCTATCTATCTATCTATCTATCTATCTATCTATCTATCTATCTATCTATCTATCTATCTATCTATCTATCTATCTATCTATCTATCTATCTATCTATCTATCTATCTATCTATCTATCTATCTATCTATCTATCTATCTATCTATCTATCTATCTATCCTATCTATCTATCTATCTATCTATCTATCTATCTATCTATCTATCTATCTATCTATCTATCTATCTATCTATCTATCTATCTATCTATCTATCTATCTATCTATCTATCTATCTATCTATCTATCTATCTATCTATCTATCTATCTATCTATCTATCTATCTATCTATCTATCTATCTATCTATCTATCTATCTATCTATCTATCTATCTATCTATCTATCTATCTATCTATCTATCTATCTATCTATCTATCTATCTATCTATCTATCTATCTATCTATCTATCTATCTATCTATCTATCTATCTATCTATCTATCTATCTATCTATCTATCTATCTATCTATCTATCTATCTATCTATCTATCTATCTATCTATCTATCTATCTATCTATCTATCTATCTATCTATCTATCTATCTATCTATCTATCTATCTATCTATCTATCTATCTATCTATCTATCTATCTATCTATTCTATCTATCTATCTATCTATCTATCTATCTATCTATCTATCTATCTATCTATCTATCTATCTATCTATCTATCTATCTACTATCTATCTATCTATCTATCTATCTATCTATCTATCTATCTATCTATCTATCTATCTATCTATCTATCTATCTATCTATCTATCTATCTATCTATCTATCTATCTATCTATCTATCTACTATCTATCACTATCTATCTATCTATCTTCTATCTATCTATCTATCTATCTATCTATCTATCTATCTATCTATCCTATCTATCTATCTATCTATCTATCTATCTATCTATCTATCTATCTATCTATCTATCTATCTATCTATCTATCTATCTATCTATCTATCTATCTATCTATCTATCTATCTATCTATCTATCTATCTATCTATCTATCTATCTATCTATCTATCTATCTATCTATCTATCTATATCTATACTCCGGGACACCACGAACTTTTTTTCTACTAAAATTTAAATTTTTCATTTCATATTTAAATTAACATTCATTATGCAAAGTTTTATAAATACCACATACCAAAATAAATATTCCTTGGAAACCAAGAACGACTTGAAACAAAAAATTACAGCCGGTTGCAAAACATTTTCAATTATACATTATCACCTTTCCATTTATAGGTATACATTTCATTTTATTACATTACATAAAATAAATGTAAAAATATATATAAAATAACAAATAAAACTTACCTCATTGATTATTTTCCTAAATCCTCGTCGTAAAAATGTTTGCTTCTATTGTTTTGACAACCACACGAAACCAAAAATCAACAACAATGTAGAGACAATTAGTTAAAAACAATTGTCGTTGTTATAAATAAATCGTTAAGTTTTTTTTTTGTTGTAAAAATTAATTGAATTTTTTTCGTTTTTCATTAAATATGTTTCACATATGTAGGCTATATAAGGCAAAAAACAAACATAAAAATTATTAATTAATAAACACCAAAAAGGCTATTTATTATTAAAAAAAATTTTAAATTCTTTATAATTAACGCTTTGGCAACACTTTTTCTTTTTATTTTTCTTGTTTTTATTTTTTCTTTCCAAATCCCTACTTTAACATTCGTTAAAATGTCATAGATTTTTTTTACTTCGTTATAATTTTTCTTTCTTTTTTTTTTTTTTTGCATAAAATTTTTTTCTCACTATAGTCGGCTTTTTGCTACCACCCAACCCATTTTAACACAAAAACATAAAGCTAGCTTTTGGTATGTTTAAATTATAAATTTTTAATTAATATACAATACTAGTGCTATATTTTATTTAATAAAGAGCAATATACTATTAAAAATTTCCTTATTTTAATTTTATTTGCCCAAATAAAAAGAAAGAAAAAAACACTATTCACACACACGCACCAACACTTAAAATTTGAGTTTAGTAAGAATTCTTTTATTTGTCATGGAGACATTTGTATTTGTTGTTTTTTTTTTTTTTCTTTTAAACACGAGTTTTCTTTTGTTAAATAATTAAATTACTTTTTTATTACTGCTTTTGTAATTTCGCTAATAAATTTTTCTTTTTTTATATCCAGATCTTTAAGATTTAATATTTTTTAAATGTTAAAAGAAAACATTCTCTCTGAAATTCTATTTTACTATATTTCCGCTTTTACACGACCACTCGTTTTGCCAGCACTCGTTGCACTGAAAAAGACAAAGAAGAATATCGTTGAAAAAGTGCTGTCTAATTTGCTTTTTAAGTTAGAAGAAAGAAATAAAATGAAATAGAACAAAAAAAGTAATGTCAATAACATGGCATACTTAACTAGGGGAATTTTCCAAAAATTTTTCCTGTATTTTGTTTCTTACATATCTTTTGCATAGATGTCAAAAACAGCAAGTATTATTTTATATATTATTAAAAAATAAACATAAAATTATTAATATTCATAATAACAACATATACAAAACTTTGACAGCTACGTAAACCAAGCGAACGTAAAATATTATCAGCTGATTGAATAACACCACCTTATGTGAATTCAATTTGAAGAAAATCGTTGAAAAAGTGCTGCCTAATTTAAAAGAATGTTTCGTTAAATTGAGAGTTACCGTATTCTTTGATATAAAAAGGAAAATGAAGAAAGCGTTAAAAAATATGTTTGTGGTGAAAACAAGAATTTTTAATTCACGTCTACGTACAAAATTATTTCATTACATTGTGATTAACAGCAATTTCTTAAATTAATGAATTTTTAACTGACAAATAAAAAGGCAAAGGTTTATTTTTAATTATTTATATGGCAGCTTTACACTAATGTTATTTTTATATGACACAAACTTAAGGGCCTTATTACACGATCACACATTACGTACGTAAAGTATAATGAATTTCTTCCGTATGAGAAAAAAGAGAATAAAGTCGTTAGTAAGTAAGTAAGTTAAGTAAGTCAGTACGTAAGTATAAGTAAGTAAGTAGTCAGTACAGTACGTAATCAGTAAGTAAGTAAGTAAGTAAGTAAGTAGTAAGTAAGTAAGTAGTAAGTAAGTATAGTAGCCGTCAGTCAGTAAGTCGTCCGTGTAAGTAAGTAAGTAAGTAAGTAAGTCCGGTAAGTAGTACTAGTAAGTTTAGTAAGTAGTACGTACGTAGTAAGTCGTCGTAAGTAAGTCAGGTAAGTAAGTAAGTAAGTAAGTAAGTAAGTAAGTAAGTAAGTAAGTAAGTAAGTAAGTAAGTAAGTAAGTAAGTAAGTAAGTAAGTAAGTAAGTAAGTAAGTAAGTAAGTAAGTAAGTAAGTAAGTAAGTAAGTAAGTAAGTAAGTAAGTAAGTAAGTAAGTAGTAAGTAAGTAAGTAAGTAAGTAAGTAAGTAAGTAAGTAAGTAAGTAAGTAAGTAAGTAAGTAAGTAAGTAAGTAAGTAAGTAAGTAAGTAAGTAAGTAAGTAAGTAAGTAAGTAAGTAAGTAAGTAAGTAAGTAAGTAAGTAAGTAAGTAAGTAAGTAAGTAAGTAAGTAAGTAAGGAAGTAAGTAAGTAAGTAAGTAAGTAAGTAAGTAAGTAAGTAAGTAAGTAAGTAAGTAAGTAAGTAAGTAAGAGTAAGTAAGTAAGTAAGTAAGTAAGTAAGTAAGTAAGTAAGTAAGTAAGTAAGTAAGTAAGTAAGTAAGTAAGTAAGTAAGTAAGTAAGTAAGTAAGTAGAAGTAAGTAAGTAAGTAAGTAAGTAAGTAAGTAAGTAGAAGTAAGTAAGTAAGTAAGTAAGTAAGTAAGTAAGTAAGTAAGTAAGTAAGTAAGTAAGTAAGTAGTAAGTAGTAAGTAAGTAAGTAAGTAAGTAAGTAAGTAAGTAAGTAAGTAAGTAAGTAAGTAAGTAAGTAAGTAAGTAAGTAAGTAAAAGTAAGTAAGTAGTAAGTAAGTAAGTAAGTAAGTAAGTAAGTAAGTAAGTAAGTAAGTAAGTAAGTAAGTAAGTAAGTAAGTAAGTAAGTAAGTAAGTAAGTAAGTAAGTAAGTAAGTAAGTAAGTAAGTAAGTAAGTAAGTAAGTAAGTAAGTAGTAAGTAAGTAAGTAAGTAAGTAAGTAAGTAAGTAAGTAAGTAAGTAAGTAGTAAGTAAAGTAAGTAAGTAAGTAAGTAAGTAAGTAAGTTTCTTTCAATTAAGTACAAAAACTACAGCTGTAATAATTTCCTACAATCTACTTACAACTATTGAAATTTAAAAAAATTCGATATTATTAAAAAGTCTTAAAAGCTATAATAGTTTTTGTTGTTTAAAAAAATTGCCTAATTCTCATGTAATAAGTTTGTTCTTAACAATCATCCACATGTTTTCATCTGTTACACTAATAATTTCAAACAATAAATTGTTTACAAAATGCCATACATTTAACAATAACAATATTAAATTATTATTCTACATAAAGTATGACACATGTTAACGTATTACCCACTCTTCCCCTTTTTTTACCCCTTCTATACACTCTTATTGTATTAATTTTTGTTCGATTACATGGATATTGCAATTTATGAAAACAAAATTCTTACTATTTATAAACAAATCAATGGCGGATAGAGTTTTTAATAAACAATTATACATGTATAGAAAAAAAAAGTCGTTCAAGATAAAGAATGTCTTGTAGAGTTATATAAATGTACAGTGAAGAAAAATAGTTTGTACAAACACAATTAATAAACAATAACAAAATTATTAAAATAATTTTTAGGGGAGGAAAGTTTATTATATAAAACAAATGCAAACAATTTGTTTGGAGCAATAAATCAAACAATTGCTGCAAACACATAATCATTTGTATAAGGTGTGGTGTCAAATAAAATATTGACAAAATTGATTTATTTTTAAAAATACTGAGTTAGAAGTTAAGTTTTTTATATTTCAAGTCCATTACTTACTGTTTATTTTGGGGTTTTTAGGAACGTTGAAGAAAATATCTTTAAAAATTATATGTTTTTCGTTTATAATAATTATTTATCTTTCATTTTATTATAATTACTTATTATTTGTTTGTTTTTTTGTTTGTATATGTATGTATATTTATTTCATGGTAATTAAATATTAATAATAATTGATTTTTCTGTTTGTTTTATATGCATATAATTTACAATAATTTAGCATTTATTTATTTTATTTTTGTTGTTGTTGCTAATTATTATTTTTCAGCAAAATTTTTCTTTAAATATTTTGTTTTTTTTTTATCATTCTGGCAAATGGTTTGCATATCTAAAAAAAAATTGTGGATTAAAAAAATTTAATGATTTGTTTAACAAAATTATAATAAACACAACAAAAAACATAAAAAAATTTAAATTAAATTAGAAAAAAAGTAGCTTTTTTAAAACCATACAATGATTTTTTACAAAAAGAAATAAAGTTTAAAAATAAATTTATAACTAATAAAATAAAGAATTAACTATAAATAAAAAAAGAAAAACTTAAAATAATTAACAAAATTCAATTAATAAGGTTTTCTTAGTTTTTCTGTTTTTTTTTTTTTTTTTTGTTTCTCTTTTTTTCTACAAATGCAAATTTATGTGGTAGTTGTTATTTCTATATTGTTTCTGGTGTTTTGTTTTGTAATATTTTGTTTAAATAGAGCTTTTTAATAAACAATTAGCTTATATAGCGTTTGAAATTTATAAAAATACAATAGACATAATGTGTTAATAACTTATATAGATTGGGTTGCTTTTATATAAAAGTTAAAAAAGTTAATTTTTAAAAAAATGTTTAACAATTTAAAGCTTGAAAGAAGAAAATTGCATTTTTTTTTTTTGAAATCTCTTTCAAATAGAAGAAGTTTTTGTAAATATTGAACAAGAAATTCTAATATTTTTTTATTTTTTTATAAAATTTCAAAAATTTCCTAAACATAACGTTGTAGAATTAAATTAACTAGAGACCAAGCGTAACTGCAAATATTCAGCCTGAAAAGGATTAAATTTTCATCCTAAATCGTAACAAAGTCTTGCTGTTTATAGTCTGGTATATAACTAGATAATAGTCAAGTCTATTACCATATTCAGGCTATAGTTCAGACTTTAAGCTATTGTCATAACTGTAATCCAGACAAGAAAGAAAGCATGAATAAAGTTGTTCAGACTTTAGTGTAGACAATAGTCAAAACGTTAGTCAAGACAATAACCATGACAATAGATAAGACAATAGTGCAGACTGTAGTCAAGACAATAGTCCAGACTGTAGTCAAGACAATAGTCCAGACTGTAGTCAAGACAATAGTCCTGACTATAGTCAAGACAATAGTCCAGACTGTAGTCAAGACAATAGTCCAGACTGTAGTCAAGACAATAGTCCTGACTATAGTCAAGACTTATAGTCTGCTAGACAAAAGTCTGGACTATATATGTAGGACAATAGTTTAATCTTTAACCAAGATTGTATTTTAGACTTTAGTCATGACTATAGTCAATACTTTAGTCATGAATATATTCAAGACTTTAATCATGACTATAGTCAAGACTTTAGTTTAGGCAGTAGCCTAGATTATAGTAGTAATAGTTTAGATTTTTGGACAAGACAATAGGCCAGATTATATATCAAATTTTAGATAAAACAATTATCCCATTCACAACTCTCTTGTATCTACGTAACATGTTCATTTAGTTTATTGTGTAAAAATGTTGTTGGTAATTTCCATTAAAACTCGTTTGTTTATTTATTTTGTTTTCAATGTCAAACTATCATTCTCATGTGAGTGCCCAATTTATAAGAAGTTAAAACAGCAAAAGAATAATTTCATAAAGTAAACTTTAAAAAAAGTAAAATAAAATGAAAAATAATTCATATTAGTGGCATAATTAATTAAGTTTTTTCAATTTAATTGTATTTTTATAAATATTTAAGATGTTTTTTCTTAGTTTTTAAACAACATGACTTTTTAAAAACAATATAAAAATACAATGGAAAAAATACACAAAAAAGCAAGCCAGATATCGGAATTCTGCAATTTAATAAACAATACGAAATACAAGACCAGTTGTGAATTGGACAAATTAAAACAATATTAAAATTTAAACTTTTCCCCTTTATCCTCTCCAATATAAAAACATAAACAAATGCTTTAATTTGTGATGCTTTAAATAAAAGTAAAACCCAAACTAAAAAGTTAATTAAGACAAATTTAATAAAATAAAATACATATAAACAAAATAAAGTATTTGTTGCTAGTTTTTTGCAAAATACATAATAATAAAAATAAAAATAATGTTAATAATATGATTATAATAATAAGTATAATAATTAAAGATCATATTATACAGGCCTTGTTTTTGTTATTGTTTTTAGTTGTATATAAGATGTTAAATGTTAAATAGATCTTTTTTATTAGCTTTACTTTTGTTAATAATTGAAAATTGAGTTGTATTTTTTTATTATATATATTTATGTTTATGTATTTTATTATAACATATATATGCAATATATTAATTTTATTTTTTTTTGTTGTTTTTTTATTTATTTGTTAATAAAATATTTATAAAAGTAAGCAAAATAATAATAATGATTACATTAAAACAAATTAAAAAAAAAGAAGAAAAACATATAATTAAAACGTTAATATGGAGGGTTTTTAGGTGTTATTATGTATTATTAGAAAAATTGAAAATTTGGAAAAATTTGTTAAGAGAAATAATTGCAATGGAAGCTAGAGCAGGGTATGATTAGTTACAAAAAAAAAAGATTTATTTAATAATAAGTGGTTAAAAAATAGATGATAATTGCTAAAATTACAAAACTACAAGGTAGATATTGTTTAAGCAATACATCTTTTGTAGTTCCAGTTAAATTATTAGCTTTTAGCTTGAGTAACGCAATTTCATTGCGTAAATCAATATTTTCCCTTTGCTGTTGATCTAAGCGTTCCTTGTAAGTGATTAACTCTTCCTCACGTTCTAAGGCGGTTACATTGATGGCATTCAAGACAGCATCCTCTTCTAGCTCCAATTCCTTGGCCAGTTGAGCATCGATTTCCGGGCAGGGTGGTTTTGAAGCGTTTGTTTCCAATTTTTCACTATCACTGTTATTTTTATTGTTTTCAGTGATAACTTGTTCTAAGGCCTTTTTATCATTCTTTAAGGCTTCTATGATTTTATTAAGATTTTCCATTTTAAGCTTAACATCATCACATTCCACTTGCATGATTTCCAAAGTGTGTTGGGCTTCTAATTCGGTCTGTTGCAGCTTTTCATTTAAGGCTCCCACTTGCAGTTGATATTCTTTGAGTTGTTGTAATAATAACTCATCATTAGAGGTTTCAGTTTTCACATTTATAACCGTACCGCTGTGAGAACTATCTATAGGGGAGGATAACGTTAGACTTTCAACCTCTGAGTCGGATTCAGTGATATCCGAGGCAGAGGATTGTATTGCTGTTTGACTGTCGAACTTTTTGCTGGCCACTCTTGTGGGTCTAGTGGCATAGGTAGGGAATTGTGTTTTAACTTTGATATTGGGAGGCGGTGACTTTTCTTTATCACCTTCGGGCTGTTGTTCATTATATTTGTGTTGGTGTGTCACTTCCTGGTCCCTTACACTATCCCATATTTCATTGTAAGCTTCTCTTAGCATATTAACACTTGATTTTAATAATAAATATTTTTTATTTTCCTTAGAAAGCACCTGTTTAACAGATGATGTGCTTGATTTGCCATTACGTTTAATAATGAACTCTTGCTCAGCACAAGCACCTTGTTCTTCATCAGCATCCTCCTCATCGCTGCTATCCATTTCATCCTGCTCCTCCTCCTCCTTAATCTCCGGTTTAACTTTAGCACTTGTTTCAGTTGCAGTTTCGGTTTCATTTTCAATTTCCGCTTCTAATTGTTTTAAATTTTTTTGTACATTTTTTAATTTACTGGTGAAATTATTAAATAATTCTTCAGGCATTTGTGTGGGTTTAGCTAGTTTTAACTTTGTTTCCGTTAAAATGCCAGCCTCACTTTCACCCTCATTATGACCATCGATATCGACGTCTCCGTCCTCATTTTCGTTTTCATTACAGATGGCTTTGAATATATCAAAAGAGCCTTCGTTTTTATTTAAATCGGAATTTTGTAACCACTTCATAATGGTCGTTTCTTTGACACGTTTTGGTGATGTTTTCTCTTTCGTAGCATCAAATGCTTTGGCTTTTTTAAGCTTTGAGGATTTAAGAATAAAAGATTTTGACTAAATATTTTGTATTTATATTTCTTCTACTTCGTCGAGACTTTAGTCAAGACAATAGCCAAGATTATAGTTCAGACTCTAGACCGGACTATAGTCAAGACAAATGTTCAAACTATAGAAAGTTATGGTTTAGACTTTAGTCTAGACAATAGCCAAGTCAACAATTAATACTTAAGACAATCGTCAAAACAATAATCAAACCTTTAGTCAAGAGTATAAGCAAGACTTTAGTCAAAACAATAGTCTGATTCAAACTCTAGGCCAGACTATAGTCAGAACAACAGTCCAAACTATAGAAGGCTATAGTTTAGACTTTAGTCAAGACCATACCCAAGATTATAGTTCAGACTATAGGCCCAACTATAGTCATGACAAAAGTCTTGCTAGTTAATAAATATCTTACTAAATTCTATGGCCTGTTTAAGAAATAAATAATAATAGAATAAAACAACTAACCTCGGCTTTATCCTGCTCCTCATCGACACCATTTAATTGTTCACCAAATATGGAAGTTAAATGTGGTCTGGCTTTTGATTTTTTTCTATTTATGACAAATTTGGACTGGGTGTCATCCTCTTCTTTAGCCTCAATTTCTGCATTATTACCATTACGTTTATTTTCACTCTTCTCCACAGCTAAAGCATCATTTTCATCTTCGTTCTCATTATCATCCTCATCATCATCATCACTGCTATCTTCATCATCGCCCAAATCCATATCTGCTATAGCGGCATCCAATTTCTCTATGGCCTGCTTTTCCAATAATTGCTCCTCATTTTCTAGTAGTTCGGCTCTTTTAATTAACAATTCTGAAATTTTCTTTTTTAAATCTTCACATTCTAATTCACGTTCACGCAGTTTTTCGCTAAGCTCTACAATACGCTGTTCTTCACGTTCTTTGGCCTCTTGCTGCAGACGAGCAGTCTCATCTTTATACTCATTGTATTCGGTTTCGAGGCGCAGCAGACGTGTGTTGACCTCCTGTAAGGTTTGTTTGGAGTTCATTATTTGATCGCGCAGTAGAGAGCATTCGTTATCGGATTGTGTATAGGCAGATTCCATTTTTGCTAGCATTTGCATGGCATCACAACGTTCTTGATAGACTTTGCGTAAGGCCTCTTTGGCGGTATGTTGATATGAAGTTTTATCATCGAGTAATTTAAGAACCTAGAAGTGGAGTCGAAAAGGAAACGTTAGAATGAAGTTGAATTTGTAAATGAACTAGTATGTGAACTAGTCTATGAACTAGACTATGAACTAGTCTATGAACTAGTCTATGGACTAGAGTATGAACTAGTTTATTTACTAGTCTATGAACTAATCCGTGGACTAGTCTATTGATTAGTCTATGGACTAGTCTTTGAAGTATTCTATTGACTAGTCTATTGAATTGTCTATAGATTAGTCTATGGACTAGTCTATTGACTAATCTTAGGACTAGTCTTTGGACTACTCTATGAACTAGTTTACGGACAAGTCTATGAACTAGTTTACGGACTAATCTATGGACTAGTTTATGAACTAGTCTATGGACTAGTCTATTGAATTGCCTATAGATTAGACTATTGAATTGTCTATAGAATAGTCTATTGACTAATCTATAGACTAGTCTATGGACTAGCCTATTTACTAGTCTATGGACTAATCTATTGACTAGCCTATGGACTAGTCTATTGATCTTTAAATATCTACCTCATTTCTTAATAAATTTTCGGGTACATTTTTCTCCATGAACTGCAGTTTCTTCTCCAACGAGTGTATACGATGCAATAGCTGATCTTCAGTGATCATTGATTGCCAACATAACGCTGAATTCTTGCGTGTAGCGTCTAAGACATTTTGTATATTACACAATTTGGAAGTTAAAACCTTTTCACGTTGTGAGGTTTCCTGTATGTAAAGATTTAAACGATGCAGCTCATCGTAACTAATGCGTCCCTCACCCGAATATTGACTACGATGGGCATTCGTATCAATCGATATGGCTTCACGGCCATCAGGTAAATACAATTTAACACAGGCTATTATACAGCCATGAACTTCTTTGCGGGAATTTTCCAAAACATCCACACCGAATTTGACAATATCCCCAAAATGCAGTTCAGCCTCTTCGTCGCCCAACTTATTGTCATTTATAAAGGTGCCATTCGATGATTTGGTATCTTTGACCCAGAATTTGCCATCGGGTGTATACCAAATGACAGCATGTTTACGCGATAATACTTTACAATCGAAAATGGCATTATTTTCGCTGGCTTTACTCTTGGCTATTAAGCGTCCCACCATGCACTCGACGTTGGGGGTCAGACTGATGGTACGTGTTTGAAATGGATGCGAATTGCCCTCACAGATCAAAACAATCTTTGCTAGACCATTATTATCGTAAGTTGCGGCAGGTACTGTTGCTGTGTTGGACGTTGTAGTGCCTTCCAGCAGATTACTATCACTTTTGTTTTGATTTATTTGATTTGAATCCAACATATTAAACGATTGATTTAGTTGTTTGGCAGTTAGACTGTTGTTATTGTTGGCGGCTATGGTTGTCGTGGGTTTTTGCAGACTAGCTACATTTGCCGTTAATGCCAATTGACTGAGAAAGTTAGGCTGCAAACCAGCTGCTGCCACTGAATTATTAGCATTATTGGTGGCATTCAAAGCTGTCTGTAAAGCACTGCTCAGAGCCTGAGGCGTTATGGGACAACTAAGTGGCACCTGTTGTTGTTGTTGTGTTATAATATTCTGTTGCTGATTATTTTGTTGTATTTTTATAGTTTGTATGGGGGCTGTGGTTAGAGTGTTGGTATTGGAATTTGGATATGAGTTAGATTCTTCTAGATCCTTATTATTGCCCGTATGATTTAGATTATTGATAAGTGCAGTCTGCTGCTGTTGCTGTGACTCCTCCAATTCTTTTTCCTCTTTTAGCGGTGACTCTTTTGTATTCTCAGCCATTATTTTTATACTATTATTATAGTTTAAAACAGATTCATTCAAATTATTATGCTCTTCTTTTAGCTGCTGTTTGGTTGTGGCTGCTGCAGTGGATATCTTTCCAATTTCAGCGATTTTACATTCGTTTATATCGACATCGACTTCGTTTAATTCATTATTATATACGATTTCTATAGAATTTTTATCTTTTATTATTTCATTTAATTTTTGTTGTTGTTCGTTGTTGGCGTTATCGTTTGCTAATGTTTTATTTATTGTTTTTGTTGCTGTTGTTGCTGCCGTTGTTTCTGGTTTTGCTATTTCGGTTGCTATTTCTCTTGATGATATTACTGTTGTTTCCGTAGTTATGGAATTTATAGAATCTCCTGCTACAGTTTCTGTTTGTTTACTATTTGTTGCATTACTATTTGCATTAACAATTGCTCCTCCTGTTGCTGATATTGATTCTGTGAGTGGATGCTCAGCAATATTGGCTGTTGCTGCTGTGCTTGACGTTGTTGCTGCTGTACCGGCTGTGGTTGTTGTATTAGCAGTCGTTTTTGGTACATCTTCACTTTTATTTTGCCATTCGTTGCTGACTAAAACCATAACTAGAAAATTAAAAAAGTTATATATTTATTTAAAATTTTCTATATAGTTTTTATTGACAGAAAGAAAAGGTTTATTCATTGCATTTAAATTTCAACTAAGATTTGCATAAAGTAGTTGTTTGTGCAATCATACAAGAAACAAAATATCTAGAAAATATGGAATATTACATTTAAAAGAAAATTTTAAAAGAAAAATGTTTGTATTTAGTTTACAGACGTGTGTTTTTATTGTAAAACGTTTATAGTAAAAGTAATACAGTGAATTAAGATTACATACATTTCTATTAAATTTTTATTTAGAATTGTACACTTTTTGTGAAAAGTATAAAATGTGCAGGTTCTTTAATTAAAATTAATAGACATATTATATTTATTAATCCTGAGAACTATTTCTCTAGTAATATAGTTCAAAGAAAATGTTAATAATAGTTTTGTTAAATAATTAAGAAAACCGCAAATTGTATAAGAAAATATAAATAAAAATAACGATACTATGCATATTGTGACCACAGTTATCATTAGAAAAGTTGAATTAAAATAATTAGAAAAATTAAAAATAAAATACATAATTTAATAAATCAGTTCAGTTCTAGTTTAATTTAAGTTGAGTTCTAGTTCAGTTCTAGTTCAGTTCTAGTTCAGTTCTAGTTCAGTTCTAGTTCAGTTCTAGCTCAGTTCTAGCTCAGTTCTAGTTCAGTTCTAGTTCAGTTCTAGTTCTAGTTCATATCTAGTTCAGTTCTAGTTCAGTTCTAGTTCAGTTCTAGTTCAGTTCTAGTTCAGTTCTAGTTCAGTTCTAGTTCAGTTCTAGTTCAGTTCTAGTTCAGTTCTAGTTCAGTTCTAACTCAGTTCTAGTTCAGTTCTAGTTCAGTTCTAGTTCAGTTCTAGTTCGGTTCTAGTTCAGTTCTAGTTCAGTTCTATTCAGTTCTAGTTCAGTCCTAGTTCAGTTCTAGTTCAGTTTTAGTTCAGTCTAGTTCAGTTCTAGTTCAGTTCTAGTTCAGTTCTAGTTCAGTTCTAGTTCAGTTCTAGTTCAGTTCTAGTTCAGTTCTAGTTCAGTTCTAGTTCAGTTCTAGTTCAGTTCTAGTTCAGTTCTAGTTCAGTTGCTAGTTCAGTTCTAGTTCAGTTCTAGTTCAGTTCTAGTTCTAGTTCTAGTTCTAGTTCAGTTCTAGTTCAGTTCTAGTTCAGTTCTAGTTCAGTTCTAGTTCAGTTCTAGTTCAGTTCTAGTTCAGTCTAGTTCAGTTCTAGTTCAGTTCAGTTCATTCTAGTTCAGTTCAGTTCTAGTTCATTCAGTTAGTTCTAGTTCAGTTCTAGTTCAGTTCTAGTTCAGTTCTAGTTCAGTTCTAGTTCAGATTCTAGTTCAGTTCTAGTTCAGTTCTACGTTCAGTTTCTAGTTCAGTTCTAGTTCAGTTCTAGTTCAGTTCTAGTTCAGTTCTAGTTCAGTTCTAGTTCAGTTCTAGTTCAGTTCTAGTTCAGTTCTAGTTCAGTTCTAGTTCAGTTCTAGTTCAGTTCTAGTTCAGTTCTAGTTCAGTTCTAGTTCAGTTCTAGTTCAGTTCTAGTTCAGTTCTAGTTCAGTTCTAGTTCAGTTCTAGTTCAGTTCTAGTTCAGTTCTAGTTCAGTTCTAGTTCAGTTCTAGTTCAGTTCTAGTTCAGTTCTAGTTCAGTTCTAGTTCAGTTCTAGTTCAGTTCTAGTTCAGTTCTAGTTCAGTTCTAGTTCAGTTCTAGTTCAGTTCTAGTTCAGTTCTAGTTCAGTTCTAGTTCAGTTCTAGTTCAGTTCTAGTTCAGTTCAGTTCTAGTTCAGTTCAGTTCTAGTTCAGTTCTAGTTCAGTTCTAGTTCAGTTCTAGTTCAGTTCTAGTTCAGTTCTAGTTCAGTTCTAGTTCAGTTCTAGTTCAGTTCTAGTTCAGTTCTAGTTCAGTTCTAGTTCAGTTCTAGTTCAGTTCTAGTTCAGTTCTAGTTCAGTTCTAGTTCAGTTCTAGTTCAGTTCTAGTTCAGTTCTAGCTCAGTTCTAGTTCAGTTCTAGTTCAGTTCTAGTTCAGTTCTAGTTCAGTTCTAGTTCAGTTCTAGTTCAGTTCTAGTTCAGTTCTAGTTCAGTTCTATAGTTCAGTTCTAGTTCAGTTCTAGTTCAGTTCAGTTCTACTTTCAGTTCTAGTTCAGTTTCTAGTTCAGTTCTAGTTCAGTTCTAGTTCAGTTCTAGTTCAGTTCTAGTTCAGTTCTAGTTCAGTTCTAGTTCAGTTCTAGTTCAGTCTAGTTCAGTTCTAGTTCGTTCTAGTTTCAGTTCTAGTTCAGTTCTAGTTCAGTTCTAGCTTCAGTTCTAGTTCAGTTCTAGTTCAGTTCTAGTTCAGTTCTAGTTCAGTTCTAGTTCAGTTCTAGTTCAGTTCTAGTTCAGTTCTAGTTCTAGTATTCTAGTTCAGTTCTAGTTCAGTTCTAGTTCAGTTCTAGTTCAGTTCTAGTTCAGTTCTAGTTCAGTTCTAGTTCAGTTCTAGTTCAGTTCTAGTTCAGTTCTAGTTCAGTTCTAGTTCAGTTCTAGTTCAGTTCTAGTTCAGTTCTAGTTCAGTTCTAGTTCAGTTCTAGTTCAGTTCTAGTTCAGTTCTAGTTCAGTTCTAGTTCAGTTCTAGTTCAGTTCTAGTTCAGTTCTAGTTCAGTTCTAGTTCAGTTCTAGTTCAGTTCTAGTTCAGTTCTAGTTCAGTTCTAGTTCAGTTCTAGTTCAGTTCTAGTTCAGTTTTAGTTCACTTCTTGTTTAATTCTAGTTCAGTTCTAATTCAGTTCCTTTTTCGTTTCTAATTCAATTCCTTTTTCAGTTCAGTTCTAGTTCAGTTCTAGTTCAGTTCTAGTTCAGTTCTAGTTCAGTTCTAGTTCAGTTCTAGTTCAGTTCTAGTTCAGTTCTAGTTCAGTTCTAGTTCAGTTCTAGTTCAGTTCTAGTTCAGTTTTAGTTCACTTCTTGTTTAATTCTAGTTCAGTTCTAATTCAGTTCCTTTTTCGTTTCTAATTCAATTCCTTTTTCAGTTCAGTTCTGTTCAGTTCTAGTTCAGTTCTAGTTCAGTTCTAGTTCAGTTCTTTCAGTTCTAGTTCAGTTCTAGTTCAGTTTTAGTTCACTTCTTGTTTAATTCTAGTTCAGTTCTAATTCAGTTCCTTTTTCGTTTCTAATTCAATTCCTTTTTCAGTTCAGTTCTAGTTCAGTTCTAGTTCAGTTCTAGTTCAGTTCTAGTTCAGTTCTAGTTCAGTTCTAGTTCAGTTCTAGTTCAGTTCTAGTTCAGTTCTAGTTCAGTTCTAGTTCAGTTCTAGTTCAGTTCTAGTTCAGTTCTAGTTCAGTTCTAGTTCAGTTCTAGTTCAGTTCTAGTTCAGTTCTAGTTCAGTTCTAGTTCAGTTCTAGTTCAGTTCTAGTTCAGTTCTAGTTCAGTTCTAGTTCAGTTCTAGTTCAGTTCTAGTTCAGTTCTAGTTCAGTTCTAGTTCAGTTCTAGTTCAGTTCTAGTTCAGTTTTAGTTCACTTCTTGTTTAATTCTAGTTCAGTTCTAATTCAGTTCCTTTTTCGTTTCTAATTCAATTCCTTTTTCGGTTCTAGTTCAGTTTTAAATTATTTTGTATTTAAATATTTTTTAAATGATTACATTAACCGATTATATGACATGACCGGATGATAGAAAAGCCATTGGCATGGTCCCACAAATACGACTCACTACACAATAAGATTTGTTTATAAGAACAAAATTAAATCCCCTAAGTAAGCAAAGTAAAAGTTTATTAACCTTTTTCAATGTATGCAACAAGAAAAAGAATAAATATAAACTTTATAAACTTCACTTAATGCGAATTTGATATAACTGTAAAATTTGAATATTACAAAAATGATTCTTTAAATAAAATTTTACAAATTTTTAGCAAAATATTCATTATATGGAATATCTTTAATACTGTTCCTCTCGTTGCCATTTTGTCTTTAATAAGAGACCGGCTATTTTTTTTTTTTTTTTAATATTTTCAATAAGATAAATCTAAATAATTATAAATTGCGAAACAATAACATTAAACATACAGACAAGTAGATTCATAAAACAGAATACGAAAAAACCCAAACGAAAATTATTCCCTGGCCAAAAAAAAATGTTTTTAAAGTACTAACTTGAAAGTTGGAAAAAAATTTTAAAAATAAACTTAATATAGAACAAAATGTATAGAGAATTATTGGGCAAACCATACAAATAACAAAAACAAAACAAACAAAAAACAACAACTGTCTGAAATGCGTGCATATGAAGCCAAGAAAAATCATTTAAACAGTTGCGTTGTATATAGAAGAGGAAAGTGTGTGTGTATGTTTATTTGCTTTATTATTGAGTAATTGTGGTGTTATTTTTGTAAACAGACAAAACCACCAACAAACAGCCCAAGACTGCAAAAGAAATTAAATGAAATGATATAGACCAACGACTAAACACATATTCCTATATGTATGTATATCTTTGCTATAATATAAACAAACACACAACAAAAAAAACTAAATTTTAATAAGATTTAATATTTAAAAGAAATAAAAAGCAATAAGAACAAAAATTTAAAGTGTTTTAAAGAGAAATTTAAATGTAAAAAATTTAAAGTTTGTAAAATAAATAATATTTAAACAAGATCTCAATTTTTTTAATTGATTTTAATAAAACCATGTTTTACAAGATTATTCTAAAAGATTTTCTAGATATAATTTTAAAAACTGTAAGAAAATGAAAAATTACCCGATATAAATAATTTTTCTTAAGTAAACTATATCAAATATATAATTTAGTTTTAATATCAAAATTCAGAATTTAATTTACGAATACAAATTTGTATCCTTTTAGCTGAAATATGTTTGTTGCCCGGCAACCTGCTAGGCATACATACATAACTTGCAACATAATTAAACGGTATTAATAATATTTGGTTTAAGGGTTGTTTTTTTTTTTGCTAGATAACTTTAAAAATTATCGTTTCAAACTTTTTTTTAGTTAAAAAATACTTTGTCTCTGATAAACTAACTAAAATGTTCATCTGTTTCAAAAGTATTATTATAGTATAACTCATCATACCCATAACAATTTCATCTCTTTTATTTTAGGTCATTGTCCCACTATTTTCTTTATCACAAAATGTTTTAAAAATAAATGTGTGATTGTAACCGCTAACAACAAAACAAAAAATAATAATAAACATAAAACACAATAGAATACTTAATGGTCAATAATAAATTTAATTTTTAAATATTTCGTATTGTTTCCAGTTACAGTGGTGGGGAAAAATATCACAACATTCTAATTCTAATACTACATAATACTAGAAATAGTTCAGTTCTAGTTCCGTTCTAGTTCACTTCTAGTTCCGTTCTAGTTCAGTTCTAGTTCAGTTCTAGTTCAGTTCCAGTTCTAGTTCAGTTCTAGTTCATTTAGTCAGTCTAGTCAGTTCTAGTTCAGTTCTAGTTCAGTTGCTAGTTCAGTTCTAGTTTCAGTTCTAGTTCAGTTCTAGTTCAGTTCTAGTTCAGTTTCTAGTTCAGTTCTTAGTTCAGTTCTAGTTCAGTTCTAGTTCAGTTCTAGTTATTCTAGTCAAGTTCTAGTTTCAGTTCCTAGTTCTAGTTTCTAGTTCTAGTCAGTTCATAGTTCAGTTCTAGTTCAGTCTAGGTCAGTTCTAGGTTCAGTTCTAGTTCCAGTCTAGTGCAGTTTCTAGTTCAGTTCTAGTTCAGTTCTATTTCAGTTCTAGTTAGTTCATAGTTCAGTTCCTAGTTCAGTGCTAGTTCAGTCTAGTTCAGTTCTAGTGCAGTTTCTAGTTCAGTTCTAGTTCAGTTCTATGCAGTTCAGTTCTAGTTCAGTTCTAGTTCAGTTCTAGTTCAGTTCTAGTTCAGTTCTAGTTCAGTTCTAGTTCAGTTCTAGTTCAGTTCTAGTTCAGTTCTAGTTCAGTTCTAGTTCAGTTCTAGTTCAGTTCTAGTTCAGTTCTAGTTCAGTTCTAGTTCAGTTCTAGTTCAGTTCTAGTTCAGTTCTAGTTCAGTTCTAGTTCAGTTCTAGTTCAGTTCTAGTTCAGTTCTAGTTCAGTTCTAGTTCAGTTCTAGTTCAGTTCTAGTTCAGTTCTAGTTCAGTTCTAGTTCAGTTCTAGTTCAGTTCTAGTTCAGTTCTAGTTCAGTTCTAGTTCAGTTCTAGTTCAGTTCTAGTTCAGTTCTAGTTCAGTTCTAGTTCAGTTCTAGTTCAGTTCTAGTTCAGTTCTAGTTCAGTTCTAGTTCAGTTCTAGTTCAGTTCTAGTTCAGTTCTAGTTCAGTTCTAGTTCAGTTGTAGTTCAGTTGTAGTTCAGTTGTAGTTCAGTTCTAGTTCAGTTCTAGTTCAGTTCTAGTTCAGTTCTAGTTCAGTTCTAGTTCAGTTCTAGTTCAGTTCTAGTTCAGTTCTAGTTCAGTTCTAGTTCAGTTCTAGTTCAGTTCTAGTTCAGTGCTAGTTCAGTTATAGTTCAGTTATAGTTCAGTTATAGTTCAGTTCTAGTTCAGTTCTAGTTCAGTTCTAGTTCAGTTCTAGTTCAGTTCTAGTTCAGTTCTAGTTCAGTTCTAGTTCAGTTTCTAGTTCAGTTCTAGTTCAGTTCTAGTTCAGTTCTAGTTCAGTTCTAGTTCAGTTCTAGTTCAGTTCTAGTTCAGTTCTAGTTCAGTTCTAGTTCAGTTCTAGTTCAGTTTCTAGTTCAGTTCTAGTTCAGTTCTAGTTCAGTTCTAGTTCAGTTCTAGTTCAGTTCTAGTTCAGTTCTAGTTCAGTTCTAGTTCAGTTCTAGTTCAGTTTAATTCAGTCATAGTTCCTATTTATGAAAAAAAAACTAATGATTTTCAATTGTTACTATAACTTTACCCACAACTCTACACATATAGAAATACAGTGGAACTAGTAATAGTGCGATCAATTCATACAAAATATTATAAATTCTATATTAGTTTATATTAAAAATCAGATTTCAATACTAATAGGTACATAATAATAAAACTCTAGCAATAAAATCAAATCAAACCCAGCTTGTTAGTGGTTTTTTAAAATCATATGTATGTATATAAACCACAAATCCACATTTAAAATATTGTATATTATAAACAACGTTACATGGTACTGAATATACATAATTGTATAAATACAATGAATAAATAATAAAATCCAAAATTAACATTTCTATTGTTTTACAGGGAGAGAAAAAAAAGAAACTGTAACTAAACTCAACATGAAATTTAGGAATTTCTCTAAAAATTCAAAACTAAAATCATAATAAATCTGAGACAATAACAAAATAAATTTAAAAATTTAAAAAAACAAAATTTATGCAAAATTGAACGACGAGTGCATAGAGAAAAAATAGGTAAAAAACGTTAACAGAATTTTAATTTTTGAGTTTTTTTTTCAAAAAAGTAAAGAGCTTAAGTTTTATATACAACAGATTGGAGTGAAAAGTAATTTGCAAAAACAAATTTGACATAATTAAAGTGTTGAAAATATTAAATAGTAGTAAAAGTAGAATAAAATATTTTATTTATAATAGTTTTGACTACTTTACTGACCAGCTGCTAGACTAGCGGGCAACAAATCTATACAACAACATGTTGTTAACGTAGATGATGATGTTGTTGATGATGACGACGAGGATTCTTCAGGCGGAGACGACGTCAATGTGTTTGATTTAAGAAAATGTTTATAAAATATGAGATAATCAACACTTTTGTTTGGGAATAACAATAAAAGAGAGAAAAAACACCCTTTAGAAATTTGATTAGTTGGTAGTCATTTAGTTAATAATGTTAGTTATGATGGCTGATGACGTGATTCGGTTGGTAACATTTTTTTATATAGAATTTTGTTTACTTAGCTAAAATTTTAAGGATAGAAAATAGATATGTTAAATTTTGGGATCTTCGCGTAGTATTAGATGAATAAATTATAAAAGGTATAAATGACATGGTCCGTTCGCAAGATGCTGCATGACTGTCGAACATAAAGGTCGCCACTATGTTTAGAAGAAAACCCACAGTGAACAATTTTGGAAAACATAACTAAAGTAATTCTATTACAGTAATGCCGCAGAATATTCACCAATTACTATCCGGGTCATTAGAATATGCAATTTTAGCTTTAAATTATATGGAATTTTTTATAATATTTACTTGCTTACACAGTACAATAATGATTATTTTAATAAAAACTTATCAACCAAAAAAAAAACTCTAATTGGAATTCCGTGTGATGACGAGAAATGAACTCAATTGTAAGTTCACTCGCACACAAATGGGCAGATTCTTGACCAATTTTTTTATATTTTAATATTTTTATTATTGTTGTCTTGTTGTCTCGTCAACTTTATTTAACTGTATTGTAATTGTATGCACGACAAACTGACTGTCAGACTCGTTAGACTCATTTGGTTGACTGGCAGTTTTTTTTTTTTTTTTCTTTTTTTTTGTTTTATTGTTGTTGTTGGTGTTGTGTCAGCTAGTTTTTATTGTTGTTGTTGTTATTGTGTGCATATATTATTAATTCCAATAAATTAACTCTCTACTTTAATTTCTTTAATTGAATTTAATTGCACATTTTTTTATTCACATCATACTTTGCTTTACTTTTTCTTTCAAAATATCTACAAAATTTTTTCAGCCTTTTTTATTACTTTTTTTTGTTTTTCACTCTGTATCTTTAATACTTTTTGCTGTAAATTTAATCGATTTACTTTTGTATTTTTTCAGCATATTTTTTATGCATTTTCTTCCTTTTCTTTTAGACAATAATTTTTTTATACGCACCTTTTTCTTATTTGCTTCTCTTTTTCGTTTCAATATAATTTTTTTGCAAAAAAAAAGGAAAAGAAAAAAGAACTTATTATATCGTATTATCTTCAAGAATTTTGTTTTTATACATTTGAGTAAATTGTTATTTTAATAAATAAATCGATTTTTATAGATTTTCGTAATTTCGTTTTTATTAATTTAATTTTTTTTCAATTATTTTTTTTCTTTTATATTATATTATTTCACCAAAAAATTTTTCTCGTTTTGCACAAAGAAATCATTAGAAAAAAACTTGTACACTGAGAGCAAAACGTCAAATAAAACTAAAGAAAAAATGGAGAGACAGGGTTGCATGTGTAGGGAACGCTGGTAAACACAACAAACCACAGTAAAAATTTTTGTGAGTGGTGAATATATATTTTTTTTTGAAGTGGTGTATTATAAAAAATTAGAATTTTAATAATATTTTCAATGAATTGTTAAACTTCTAGACAAAGTGCTTTATTTTTTGATTTATTTATAGAAGAGAAGTAAAACTTTCAGTAGAATATCTTTAAGCAACAGTGACCAGAAGTGGACCAAATTCCGAATACATTGATTATTATATTTTTCATCACTTAAATTCATTTGTAATATCAATGAAATCAGTCAATGATGTCGAAGAAATCAAAAGATATGTTCCTTCAAATTGTATTTAAATATCTAAAAATAAGTTCAGAATGTAATCAGAAAATGAAAATTTTAAATCATTTTTCCTTTACAGGACATAAATTTTGGTCAGAAAGTCGATTAAGACTAATCAGATGGAAAGTGATTTTGAGTCGAACGGTATAGTTGTAGGACCTATATTTATATGTGTTAGAGACTCATAATACCCTCCCCATTATAGTGGTGTAGGGTATAAAAACTTGGCAATGCTTTTGTTTACATTTCTACTGTGAATTATACTCTTCAAGTTGTGAATTAAATATTAATTTTCGTCGTTAACGTTACCGCACACACAATCAGAGACTTGCGCCGATTCGGCTTAAGCCGACTAAGTCTAGCCGCCGAACAAAATGTCAAAGCCGCCGAAAATTTTTCAGCTTAATACGGCTTGAAAATTTCGCCATATTTTGTACAATTTACAGAATACTTTCGCTAAATTTGTGGAATTTTACAATATAAAATTAATTTGTTTTCATTTAAGCAAGTTTTCTTTTATCTAATAATAAGCCGCTCATTGAAATTTGGCCGGTGTAGAACTTTGCTATAAGGCTTCGCCTCAGATATTTTCGTGTTTTCGCGCCTAATTCGAGTCGCTGCTTTGACATCAAACCAGCTTCGTTGACGTCAACGGAGCTACACCTTTTTACATTGCTGGTATGTCATACCGTAAAGGGCTAGGGTACCGAACATGTGTATTTCAAATGGGAAGTGCAGTTGATGTCAATTCTGCCGACTGCGAAAAGAAATTCTGCTAGAATTTTTCGCGCCAAGCTGTTTTCTGCATTTTTTATTTGCCACAAAAAATCTGTTGTTGTGTGTGTGCGAAAATCTAAAATGACAGAAATGATATTCTTTAAATAAAAAATAATAATTGTGGGCTTTATGTCGACTTTAGATCCCTTATAGTTGTCACACTATACCAAATAAGCATTCTTGCTGGAATTAAAGTTTAAAACAAGTTTAATTTCAGTCAAACATTCAAATTTCAAGTGTTGAAATTCACTTTCATTACACTTTAATTCAATAGCATTCTCCAGTGAAACGAAACTTGAATTCAAGTCGAACATTAGAATGTTTTTACAGTATAATTCAATGCACGAAATCTATATACATACATACGTACATATATAAAATTCTAACGTTACTGACTGACTGACTGACTGATTCATCATCGTAGAGCCTAAACGGTTTTAGCTAAAGAGCTTGGTCTCCCACCAAATAGATCCACTTAGACGGGATTTTTGGAAATTCGAATGATTAGGGGGTTAAAATGGTAAAAACGGGTAAATTCGGTAACCTCATATCTCCTAAACTATAAAAGATACAAAAACAGTTTAAAGCTTATCGTCGTTCATTTAAAAAATAAGCGGGCAGGTGTCTGGTACTTTTTTCAAATTCGGCCCCTTTGGGGAATTAACGGGTAGAAACTGTAATTTGGTACTTCTTTTGCACCCCATGTATCTTTTAAACCAGAGAACATTCAAAAAATATTTTTGAATCCTTCATAACTTGACGAACAAATAAAAATATAAATTTAGTACTTTTTGGATATTCGGACGTTTAAGGGGTGAAAATTGTACCTATTTTTGATACTTTTTTATAAAACATTGTTTTTGGTTTATTAACTTATACATATGAATACATAATAACGGGCTCCCAATACGATGTTGCAACTGGTACTTTTTTGACTTAGAACTAAGAAACATGTAATTAAGCACTTGAGAATCTATAAAAGTGGACTTTTTGGTACTTTTTCGTTCTTCAAAAGGTACTTTTTGAGTTTTCTATTTTTCGTTCTTCGACTGTTACTTTTTGAATTTTTTATAATATTGAACCTAGAAACATGAATTTAGGAATGTACAGCCCGGATTAAGTAATAACATATAAAAGGGAACTTTTTGGTACTTTTTCGTTCTTCAAAAGGTATTTTTTGAATTTTCTATAATATTGAACATGGAGTAAGTGAGAACATATAAAACGGGACTTTTTGGTACTTTTTCGTTCTTCAACTTGTACTATTTGGATTTTCTTTTATAATGAACCTAAAAACATAAAACTAAGCAATCAGGGACTTGAGTGAATGAAAATTTAAACTGGAGTATTTCTGGTAAATTTTCGTTCTTTAACTGGTACTTTTTGAATTTTCTAAAATATTGAATATATAAACATAAAATTAAACACGCAGTATCCTAATTGAACGAAAATTTATCTCGCTTACGTCCATTTTGCAAAAAGGGCTCGATATCAATCGAAATCTCTATAGGCCATAGTTGACACTGCGCCCGTCAATAATTGATTTTAACGTTTTCTAAGTACTTAATAATACCATAATAAAACAATTTTTGTTGGAACGAAAATATGTAATGAAATCTTCAGAAAATGACTTAAACGCACATAAATGGCTTTCAAATGCCGATGTCGACGAAATAAACATTTTTAGGAACCGAAACCCACATTTATGAAAAATAAAATTATGAGGATCGGTCCGCCAATATAACCCTCTTACAGAAAATCAGTTTATATATATATATCATTCCAAAAGTTATCATTATGATAGAATTATGGTAGAATTAAAAAAAAATACTTTAAATTATATATATTATTGATCCAATTCCACATTTAAGTCCCTAATCCGAAAATCACGGTGTCGTTCTTATTAATCTAATGATCGGACCACTTCCGAAATTTGTTTTTTTTTACGACATATGATTTGCCGAATATAACTCTTACTTCTTACTTATTTTAATCATAAAATACCACTAAAATAGGAATAGTCTTCCTTTAGAGTTGCGAGTTTTCATACATTCTAATAATGTTTTCAAAGTGAAACTTTTGGAATATTTTTCAATCTCTTTGTGATCACTTTAAATGATGTTGTTCTGGAAGAACTTTAACATCCATGTAAACATTTTGGGTAATAAACTGGGGACTACCATTGAGGGGAGCGGAACCTCCCATATGAATTAAATACAAAAATTCGTTTATCTGGGAAACTAAATTCTTCAAATTTTCCACGAACAACTTTAATATTCATCTGAACATTTTGGAGAAAAAAGGGTGGACTTTCATCTGGGGGGCTTGGAGCTCCCATATGAATTAAATAGAAAAATTCGTATATCTGAGAGACTATTAGAGCTAGAATCTTCAAATTTTACTGAAGAACATTTAGAGAATAACGGGCGGACTTTCAATGGGGGGCTTGGCACTTCCCATATGAATTAAATACAAAATTTTGTATATCTGGAAACTATTAGATTATTCAAATGTTTCATAGATTAAATTAAAATCTTAATTAACGTTCGGAATAATTGGCGTCATCTATGCATAATTTCTCATGCAACTAAAAAAAAACTAAACGTAGTTGAAAACTTAGCCGGCTTACAGTCGATTTTAAGCCGCCGCCGACATATTTAGTGTCAGTAGCCGCCGCCGTTAGTATTTGTCGGCGCAGGGCTCTGCACACAATACTATCCCATTAAAAATGTTAAGAAATTCGATTTATCATATAACAAAGGTAATCTGCTAAAAGATGTAAACACTTTCAACAACTATACAAAAATAAACTTTCAGCGTTTTTTAGCTTCCAAAACTACCGCCCACCAGGAAGCTCTAATGGCAAGAGGTTTGCCCAAAAGAGCACCCTTGCCTGGAGTTGCTAACATTGTAGTAGTAGCTTCGGGCAAGGGAGGTGTAGGTAAATCTACAGTAGCCGTTAATTTGGCAGCAACTTTAGCTAATATGGGCAAAAGGGTAGGATTATTAGATGCGGACATTTTTGGTCCCTCCATACCGCTAATGATGAATGTACATGAGGAGCCTTTGGTGGATGAACGCAATCTTATGATACCACCTATTAACTATGGCGTGAAGTGTCTATCAATGGGTCTTATCACACAACAAGGTGGCGCTATAATATGGAGGGGCCCTTTAGTAATGTCTGCTTTACAGAGACTCTTAAAAGGAGCCATTTGGGCCCCTTTGGATATTTTAATAGTGGATACTCCCCCCGGAACAGGTGATGTACATTTGTCTTTAACACAAAATGTGCCTATTGATGGTGTGTTGCTGGTAAGCACGCCACAAACAGCAGCTTTAGAAGTTACCCTAAGAGGTGCCCAAATGTATAAAACTTTACAAGTGCCCATATTTGGTTTGGCAGAAAATATGGGTCATGCTATTTGCGGCAATTGCCAACATAAAATGGAAATATTTAAAAACACCACCCAGAAATATGTGCAGGAAATGCAAACAGAAATTTTAGCCTCAATACCCCTAGACGGCAATATAACTGACTGTTGTGATGAGGGTATACCCATGGTGTTAAAATTTAAAGATTCTCAATACGCTAAAAGTTTCCACAACTTAGCGGAACAAATTTTACAAAAATTACAAGCCAAAGATTTAAAAGAAAAGTTGTGATAAATAAAGTTAAAATTATTTTTTATTTTTCTTTAGTTTCTTCATCTTATTCATGGCTTTACGATGGGCATACTTTTGTTTTGTTATCATAATTTCCTTATGTTTACGCTTAATATATTTTTGGGCCTCCGTATCGGCCAGCAGTTCATCAACAAGTGTATGTTTCTTATTACGACGTGTATCACGCTCATTATAGTAATCCAAGGGAGAATGTTGTACAGTACCAACCTAAAAACAAACAAGGAAATGTTTAATATTTCTTTATAGGTATAAAGATAAGAGAAAATAATTACCTGAAAGTATTTGGGCAAAACTTTTAAATCGTTTTTCTTGTAGAAATGTTTGGGATCCAATACAGAACGCATTTGTAAGATTTTTAAATCATTTTCCATTTCTTCGGTCATTTCAGTGGCTGGCATATTAAACCAGTTCTTGCCCTTAGTTTTAGAACGCTCCACCTTGAATTAATAGGAAAATAATATAAATTTTAATGATATATTTTTAAATAAATAAATTTGCAATATTTTCCTACTAGCTCAGATTACTAAAGATGTCATCAATCTGCCTTAAACCAATATCTAAACATTTTACATCTTGTTATTATTAAGTGTAAAGCAAAGAGTTTCATTGCGTTTTTGAAATATAAAACCCCAATTAAATTGCTTGCCAAATACTCTACAACAAACAACAGTCTAATGGAGGTTTTTTGTAGATTTTACTATACCGCTGGCCTTACAGCAATTGCTTGACACTTCTATAACAATCACTAAGATTACAACGGCTGAAACTATATTTTTCCACTTTGCTTTAACTTAATTAAGAGTCTTTTAAGATGTGTTAAATGCCTCAAACAATATTGGTCAAGGACTAAACTTATTTTTCGATAAAAATAAGCTTAAGATGTCGAATATTTCATCATTGTCTCCAAATGAATGTTATATATTAATGACGAGGACTTACCCTATTCAATTCTCTTTGCTTCTTTTTTGTTATACTTGGCAGTTCCTTAAGTTGTTCTAAATTAGGCACCATTTCCGAATTGGCCAATACTTTTTCGATACTAGGCTTAAAGGCTTGCACATCATCTCGTTTCCCGGTCATTTCATTAAAATCTGAGTGATCCAAATCTATCAGGCGCTTTATTTTAGGTTTAGGCTGTCCCTTTTTTAATAAAGCTTCATCTGACTTTTGTACCACATAGTCCATTTCTTGTTCCACTTTAGAGGGTATTTTACGTGTTGCCGCCAAAGTGCTTTCAATGATATTCGAAACGTCCACAGTGGGTGGCGGTAGTCCTAAAAGAATCAACATTTTTATTTCAAATTTATATATTAACATTTCAAGAATTTACCAAAGAAATCATATTCTTTCTTTTCCTCCTCCTTTACCTCTGTTTGAAGTTCAGCAGCAAAGTCTCCTAGACCCAAACCTGAGGACTCGTTTAACAATTTGCGCTTTCGGGAATTGTCATATTTTGGCTTGGCTAGACTATCTGCAGCTAGCAAATCTTGATTACCTGAAGTATCAAGCACAAATAAGGACATTTTCTTTGTATTTGATTAAAAATAAAGCGTATTTTATTATATTTTCAGGTACAAAAACGTGCTCAAAGATAAGAGACGCTAAAAAATAAACAGCTGCATCCGATGCTGCCAGATTGGACGATTTATTTTCATTTTAATGTTTCAAAAATAGCAGAGACTGTCGATTTTTTAAAATATTAAGCGACATGGCCACACATCAAATTTTTGGACTCAAACGGTAGGTTTTTACTGTGTTAGTGAAAAAAACTCACATGTACTATATATGCGGTGTGAGTTTTTTTACTAACACAGTCAAAAAACTTACCGTTTGAGTCAAACAATTTGATGTGTCGCCAAGGCGCTTTAAAAATAATTAGAGAATATTACTCAAAATCCAAAGTGGTTTCATTTTGAGTAATATAATTCAGCATTTTTCGAATTTTACATAAATATGTTTAACTTTGTTATGTTTTTCTTCTTACATTATTAAAAGATACTATTTAGTGATAAAATTTGAATTAAAATTTTAAGAATTTATTATTATCTATTTTTTTTAGAATTAAAATAAATATTTTAAAATTTCTCGTGAAATTGTTGATTTTTTGAAAATTTATCTGGTAGCATGGCAGACAAAGTTCTCTTTATTGTGTTATCATTCTATGTTGAATAGCAAATAGTGATGTCAATTTGTTTTACCGTTTTTCGATAAATTTTGAGAAAAAGGTTTTGGTAAATCTTTAATTTTGAAAAAATTTTGGATAATTATTGCTTTTACTAATGTGCTTCATCAATATTATCAACGTTTAGCAATGGAATTTTACAAAGCATCTCTTCATTATTCAATTGCGTTGAAAAATAAAAATAAACACCTAAAAACTTAGCCGGCTTAGGAAAACGCCGTAATTTTTATTGCTAGCCACCGACGTTGTTATTGTTTGCCGTCACCGATCTCTGCTTCTTATTAGAGAAAAATGAAAAAAACGTGCGCGATTGAATCACACGTTTACAAATTAATAAAAATTAAATCTTTTCGATATACAAATTAATATAAAATAAAAATTGCAACGTAGTAAAACTATTTTGCAATATAAAACATATGCTGTTTTAAGTAAAATTCTTAAATTTATGTAATAAGGAAACATTTTGTAACCTCGTCTGGCAGAGCAGCAGCAAAACAATCTACGCAAATAGCTGCGGAACCAAATCAGCTGTGAGCCCATTGTAAACCCTTGAGGGGGAGATAAAATTTAACAAGTTCATGAAATAAAGTTGGAAAGTTTAAGTGCAACAATTTGTGAAATTATAAAAAAAGCTTTTGCCTTTATAAAAGTTTATATTTTGCTGGTCAAGAAGATGGCTTTAAATTCGGATATGTCGGTGTATAGTGCCAAAACTTCGCGGACCGCTTTATCTTCAATTTTGAAGACATATTCACCTTCTGAAAGAGATAAAGCTAAAAATGCCATTATAAATAAAGTAAGATTTGAAATGCCACAACAGAAGGGACTTTTACAAGTGGTGATCGCTGTAGAAGAGAGAAAAAATTTTGATCAAATGGAGGAATTTGTTGCATTTCTAACTGAAACTAATTTGGAGGTAAGTACAGGAAATGAAGTAAACAAAACAAACAGATTCTTTATGGGATATTTTAATTTTTTATTCTGTAATTTTATATTACTTAAGTTTTTTAAACTAAATTTTAAATAACTTTTTTTAGGACAGAGAGTTCTTGCGTATTTTTAATGATGCCTACACTGTAATTCATCAATTAAGTCCCAAATTTTCACCACTAGTCGAAGCACTACTATCTATAACATGGACTAAAAGGTCAGCAGAATGTCGAAAAGCTTATGGCGATTTTTGTTTGGGTATGGTGGTGGCACACAATAAATATCTGGAATTTGCCATAGAAAAGTTAATAAAATTATGGATACCTGTGGAAAGCAACAGTGACCATTGGTATAATGATAAACCTAGCAAAGAAATGCAAGTAGAATTGCAGGCAGTTCATCTTATACTAGAGCGTATTTTGAATGCTATACCCATGGCTTTTGATGCTACTCTAACAGCCATTGAAGCCCTGTTTCCGTATTACAAAAGGCCTACCTACTCAGTGGTAGGTTATGTGTATAATTTATTGAAATTATTAGAATATAAACCCATATTTTCGGAATATGTCATACAATTAATAATGCAAAGGTAAGAGAAGTGTTAAAATGGTAAAAATAATCCGACGTTTTTAAAAAAAAAATTTCTCAATTTCTTAAAGATTCGTTATTTTGGATGTTCATGCTCCACGTTCAGAAATTGAAGAGCTGGACAGTGATGATGATGAGAGTGAAGATGAGGAGGAAGAGCCCGAAATGTTTGAAATGGATGATTGTGAAAAACGTAATTAGCTATATTCAACACTAACGTTATACATTTGTTAATAATTTTGCCTTTTTTATAACTGTAGAGACCGCTAAAACTGATGAACCCATGAAACACGCCATTGCCCATACTTTAGATGTTTGCATGTTGAAATTATTTGAATTTTTAGAACAGAAAAGTAAACAAACTCTAAATGCTACGGATAATGAACGACAGCAAAAGCTAGCTGATTCTTTGAAGTTTTTAAAAATTTTAATTAAAGCTTTTGACGAAGTTATTTTACCCATACACAATACTCATCATGCACAATTTGTTATATTCTATTTTTGTAGTTTAAAGGTTAGTGTTAATGCAACAATAATGTTCTGTTAATGTTTTTAATTATTATTTTTTTATAGCAAAATTTGGCGGAAACCTTCTTAGCCTCGCTGTGGGATAAAATTAGAAATCCAAATTGTTCGTCTGTTATACGTCAAACAGCTGTGGGTTATATGGCCAGTTTTTTGGCTCGTGCAAAGTTTATAAGTATAAAGTAAGTATTTTAACTCAAAAGATTATTTAATAGATAGATAGAAAGATAGATAGATAGATAGATAGATAGATAGATAGATAGATAGATAGATAGATAGATAGATAGATAGATAGATAGATAGATATATAGATAGATAGATAGATAGATAGATAGATAGATAGATAGATAGATAGATAGATAGATAGATAGATAGATAGATAGATAGATAGATAGATAGATAGATAGATAGATAGATAGATAGATAGATAGATAGATAGATAGATAGATAGATAGATAGATAGATAGATGATGGATAGATGGATAGATAGATAGATAGATAGATAGATAGATAGATAGATAGATAGATAGATAGATAGATAGATAGATAGATAGATAGATAGATAGATAGATAGATAGATAGATAGATAGATAGATAGATAGATAGATAGATAGATAGATAGATAGATAGATAGATAGATAGATAGATAGATAGATAGATAGATAGATAGATAGATAGATAGATAGATAGATAGATAGATAGATAGATAGATAGATAGATAGATAGATAGATAGATAGATAGATAGATAGATAGATAGATAGATAGATATACTTATGGTTTGTTTTTACGAAAATAAAAAACGTTTTAATTATTATTTTCAGCATTTTAAAACACTACCTAAAAGAACTGTGCTCTTGGGCTCATCAATACATACAAGGTTGTGATCAATACCGTTCGAATGGTTCTCTCAAAGCAAATATTGTATTTTTCTCTGTATGTCAAGCTATATTCTATGTAATAGCTTTTCGATCAAAAGATTTAACCAGTGATAAGAAAAGTAAGTACAATAAAACTTTAACATTAACAAAAAGTCGAATCCCTATAATCTCTTACAATTGCAGGTTTATTATTTTTACAATCATTACATTTATCGGCCATGGTAACGTGTAATTTCAATCCTCTAAGAGTTTGCTTACCGGCTGTGGCCACTGCTTTTGCTGGCGTAACAAGAGCCTATCAATTGGCCTATTGTCATACGATATTGGAACGCAATGCTCGTCGTAAATTGGCTACAGTATATGCCAATGATACCGCCACACCCGAAGAAACCTTGGATACTTTCTTTCCCTTTGATCCCTATTTATTGAAAATGTAAGTTAATATTTCTCACAACAAAAGTAATTAAAATTATTAATTTTGTTTAATTGTTAATGTTAGGTCCAGCAAATACATAACACCCATCTATTTGGTATATCAAGCTGGTGACTGTGATGATGATCTACCCGAAACTAATAATAAATCACGCAAACGTGGTGATTCCGAAATGATGGATGATCATGATATTGATGATTTTATTTTAAGTGATAAACGTCAAAGATTAGCCAGTTTAGCCAAAAGTCAAGAGAGAGAAGCCCAATTTAGTTATGGTTTATCGCCCGGTTTTCATATATAATCAAGAGAATGCTGATTTTTTTAGCTTTTTGTGTATAAAGTAAAATCAAACCTAAATTCCTATATATATATATTTCTAAATTGAACTGTCGTTAATTTATCTTCCTGTATTGAAATATTTAAAACGGATTCTCTTTTATTTTTAGCTTTTAAGTAATGCATACATATTTCAAAGAAATGAATTTTATAATTTTGAACATTTTTTTTAATTATTTATTTTATAAAATAAATAATTAGTTTAATTACTTTATGTAGTGAAATCAAAAATTATGAATAAATCAATATTTATATATTTTAAAATAAAAAGATTACGATTTACCTTTATTCCTTGTGATTTGATTTACAATGTTGTATAAAATGACCAGAAGTACGAAACTGTTTGGAACATTTATTACATTTGAAGGGTTTTTCTTGTGTATGAATTCTCAAATGCAATTTTAGAGATTTATTAGAGGCATATAGACGACCACACACTTGGCAAGTATGTTTGACGCGCTGTGTTGCATGCACCAACTGATGGTTGTCTAAAGATTGTTTTGAACGAAACTTGTGCCTACAAGTTTCGCATTCATAGGGCTTTTCCTTAGAGTGTTTATAGTTGAAATGTTTTTTCAACCAGGCATTATAACGAAATGTCTTATCACATTTGGAACATTTATATTTGAATTCTACCTTTGCGTTAAAAAGTTTTGGCTCTATTTGTGAAATCTTTGATTTCTGTTTTTTTATTATACACATTTGTTCGTTTTGTGTTTGTTCATTTCCTATAAATATGGGATATTTTAACAAGTTTTCCTTTTGCTCCTTAGTGTTTATTAACATTTTCAAATGTGTTATCATATGTTGGCGGCAATTTTGTTTTGTTTTAAATGTTTTGCTACAATAAAGACATTTGAAACTTGTATACTTTAAATGAGTTTTAGTGTGTATCCTTAAAGCCGCTTGCGTGGCATATGTTTGTTGGCATTCCAAGCATTGATGTTTAAATAGATTTGCATGTCTGTTTTCATGTTGTTTTAAGACAATTTGACTACTTAACGTTAAACCACACAAATTGCAGTCATATTCCCCCGAGACCGGCTCAGGGATGGGTAATATTTTCTTGAGTAAATCTATTTCATTATCCTTTTCGCCATGTTTATGGTTTATTAAAGTTTTCAAAGTTTTAAAGGTTTTACCACAGTGTGGACATTTGAATGTTAACTGGCTACAGGTTAAAGAGGAGCTGTAGAAAAATTGTTATTGTAATATATTTTTATATGAATAATTTGCTAAATAGCCCACCTTAAATGTTTATCGAATTGTTGTCTGGCACTAAAACCTTCTTTACACTTGGGGCATTGATAAAATTTCCTTATTAATCCAAAACTTTCATGTAAACGATGAATGGAACAATGTGTTTTTAACTGAGCGGTAGTGGGAAATGATTTCTTACATAAAACGCAAATAAAAGGTCGTATTTTGGTGTGAGTTCTGAGATGTCTGAAAACCAAAACCAAACTCAATTTAAAATCTAATTTCCTAACCCAGCTTTCCTTACCTTAAGAAATTATATAATTTTTTAAATTCCTTTTTACAGAATTCACAAATTAAATAGGAAAATCCATCGAAACGTTTAATACTTTGTACTTTTAATTGTTTAAACTGTCCTGAGGGATATAAATTATCTTTAACAACAATGTTCCTTATTCCAAAGTCTGTGGCAGTTGTTAAATTCTCTTCTGCCGCTTCTATTGGTTGTATATCTTTTTGTAATTCTTTCAATTCCTTTAAAACAGTTGCTGCCAACGTTTGAGCATCTGGTTCTAGTACATCTTCCTCTTGAGGATTGGAAGATTTAATTAATTCAATATTATTATATGACTCTTTGTTGTGAGCTTTTAAATTAGACAAATTTGTAAATTCTCGTTTGCCATCTGAACTTTTAAAGTATTTATTAGTTTTTTGCAAAGTTTTTGTGTGAATGTTTTTAATATGCATTTGCAGATTGTATTTTTTGGAAAATCTATTAAAATTAAGTTCATTTTTAAATTTTTGTAATAAAATTTAAATGATTTATATAACTTGCAAATCACCTTAAACCACATTGTTTGCACTGGTATAAGCCTGGTTGTAAATGTTGCTCCCTAACGTGGCGATTGAGAGAAGATTTTTGGACAAAATTTTTGTGACACAATTCACAGTTAAAGGATGGTGATATTGCACTTTCCATATTGATAATTATTTAAAAAATTCCACAAATATCTTGTAATTTTATTAATTATGCGCCGCCATTGATGTTTGTATTATAAATAACTAATTTTTAAAGGCGAGTAATTTCTCTAACACGTTTTGTATTTAGTTAGAAATTAACATTGCAGTTAAATAAAACTTTAATTATTTATTAAATGCCTCAAATTTGTTAATAATAATCAAAATAATAAGTTTGTTTACAAAAAGAACTTCAACATTTGTTTTTGTTCTGTCAATTCAATCATTCACTGCAAAATGATACCACAACGGAAATTTCAATAACCGTTTTTTTTTTTATATGAACTTTGCAACTTGCTGAGGTGGTACTGAAAGGCGGGGTATCTCAGCAAAATTGACCGGTAAGAAATGTACGTGTTTGTGTGTCGATCCCAGCAAATTTGCCGAGCTCAGCAAGAATTTCCATTTGAAAATGTAAATGACGCTACGACGCCGACGTGGAATTGATACATTTGAATTTTTTTCATTCAAAGATTGAACCAGAAGTATAATTTGTGATTGAACTTTTTTCCGAACTACAAGCAGATTGCATATTGAAATTTGTCTTATTAAATGTGTTGAATTATAAGTGTTTATATAATTAACATATTATATACATTTTAATTATTTTGTAAACAAACTGATTATAACGGTAAACTAATAATAATAAAACACATAGATTTTAGGTTATCAGCAAAATTTGGATTTTATTTATTATTACAAAAAGAGATTTTGCTACAGAATTGATATTTATATTCATATGTATATAAAAAATGCTTTTTTTTTGCACTCCAAATCAACAAATCCTTAAAAAACACCTATTCACAATAGATATCTATGCGATATTTTTCCAGAGAATAGGTATATTTATATCCTACACCACTTCTTTAGTGGGGAGGGTATATGGGGTTTGTGCTGATGTTTGTAACGCATAACAATATTGGTCCTATACCCACCTTAAAGTATACCAATCGCCTTAGAATCATTTTCTGAGTCGATTTAGCTATGCCCGTCTGTGTCAATGTAAACCTTGTGTGCACTCTACAGGTCGCAATTTTTGAGATAATTTGATGAAATTTGAAACATGAACTTCACTTGGTCCAAGGATGAATTGAAAATGGTTGAAATCGGTCCATTATTTCACCCAGCCCCCATACAACCGGACCCCCGAATAGGGCTTTTGACCTCAAAAATTGGAAAAATTTAGTTTTATATACATATGTCTTAATAACTCTAGAAACTTTCTATAGAAAAAATAATATTAATTTTCTGGTTAAAAGTTTTTACAGAAAATTTGTTAGATTTAGTGTTCTATTAGCTCCTAACTTCATTTTTATTGAAACTGGAACATTCAAAATTTTTTTCTGACCTTTTTTGAGAAAATTTGCCATATTTTCTATAGAAATTTTGTTAATTTTTTTTGGAAAAAAACTGATTGTTTTGAATTTTTTTATAAAATAATTTTCAGACTGAGGTTCTGTCCAAGTTTCTTTGAAAAACTTCAAAGTTTTTGCTTACTTAAAGAATTTCTATGTAAAACGGGAACAATATCAACAAATCTTAGTTTCGATTTAATGGATTTGGAGTCCGATCAACATTTCATATAAAAGCCCACCAAATCTAACGATAATATCAATCTCCAACTCCCATATTCATATATTGAATTAAAAATTATGAAATAAAAAAACTTTTAATCAAAAAGGTACACGTTATGTTATAGAATCGGGCAAATAGGATTCTAGATTAAACAAAATCAAGATGGACAAACAATTTCTATATTTTTTACAAGGCTGATAACTAAGCTGGATTCCAGCATGCGAATTACTGGCGAAATTTCTTTATCAAAATGTTCTAAAATGTTGATTCATTTGAATTACCGGCATGGAATAGTTTATCTTCAACTCCGGCGAAGTTACTAATTCTCCATCTAATTAGGTATTTATCCAGCAACTAAATTTATTTTTTAGCATTTCTGATGAACTTCCTCCAAACTTTTAAAATTAAACTAAATATTTGCTCCAGTTTTACTTAAATTTATTAGCCTATTGCATTTAATGGCCGGTGAAATAAGCCACTTTCCAAATAACGTGCCACAACTATTGTTTTGTTGTTTTTTGTCATTCCAAATAGAATTCAATTCTATTTTTCATTCACTGTTTATTTTTTTGTTTAAAATTTTTTTTTTACAAGAGAATTTTCATAGAAAAAAAGCTCCATGTGTGTAATATAAAAAAACACCCAACAAATACATCATCATCATTCCGTATGTTGTAACTAAAGTAGTAGATTAACTTAGGCAACGAATTCGTAAGGAATGGGAGCCAATACAATGGGTTCTTCGATCTTCTTGACGAAGTGAGCCTTCTTGGGTTGGGCAGGTTGACGTTTCAAGTTGACCCAGGTACCCTTAGCCTTGGCGTCCTTCAACAAACGTTCGTTTTCCTTGACGCGACGCAAGAAATCTTCACGGCACTTGGAGTGGTGGACGTGTTCAATGCGGACATTGATGCGCTTGGGTAGGATCTTACCGCGTACACGTTTGTTTACAATAACACCGACAGCATGAGGGGTGACATTGTAGACACGGCCAGTTTTGCCGTGGTAGGCCTTGTAGGGCATACCCTTTTGGACGGCACCATGACCCTTGATGTCAACAATATCTCCAATTTTGAAGACACGCATGTAGGTGGACAAGGGGATGACACCATGCTTGCGGAAGGGGCGAGAGAACATGTCTCTGGTGCCGCGACGATAACCCTTGGAATTAGTCATTTTGTTAAGGTAGTTTGTTGTTCCCTATAAAAAATTGGCAGAAAAAACACAAATTAAAACACTTTTTCCTTGGAAAACTCTCACACATATTCATATGCTTTAGATTTAAACAATATTTAAAATTTATATTCATTTTTTTAGCATTTTTTCACATTTTTTTTAGAAATTTCCACTAACCTTTCAGAAAATACCGTCCACGCGGTCGTGTAGTTGGGAAAAAAGAAAGATGGCGACGGTACAGTATTGCCAAATTCAAATTTTTACACATTTTCGAATATTTTGACATTTAACTTCGAAAGGAGCCGTGTTTAGTTAACATAATGACTAAGCTGTGTTTATTATATTGAAAGCTGGCAATGCTGTTAGTTGAAAGTCAGCTGTTTGTCAAAAATTCTATATGTATTTCAAAAGTTTACAAAAAATTTACATGATTTGCTAAAATTTTAACAAAAAAAGTGAAAGGATTTAATAAAAATGCAACAATTTAAGGGTTTACAAAAAAGTTTATTCATTTGGTCTCACTCTGATAACTTGGAAAAACAGGTGGACCAGCTGAAAGCAGCTACAGGAGGTGAAGTTGTAGTGGAAAATATTAATCGCCTAACATTTGGTGAGTAATTTGTCTTGTCAAAAAAAGTTCCAGAATAATTTGTATTAACTATTACTGCATATAATGCCGTTTATGTAAAGCCTCTCATGCTAATGCCTCCTTCGATTTAATTGTGGTGGAAAATGCCCAACTAACGGATGCTTTTGGTAAATTATTACAATTATTAAAACCTAAAGGCAAATTACACCTTTTAACATTTGTGGGCTCCAGCGAAAGTTTATCACAGGAGCTAAAGTTGTCAGGATTTATAAATACACAAGTAACAGATGCTACTATAACCACTGAGAAACCTGGCTATGAGACGGGTTCGGCGGTAAAATTGTCATTTGCCAAGAAGCCCACTACAAAACCGGCAGCTGTTTGGAAAATTGATGGCGATGAGGAAGTGGAAGAAGACTTAATCAATGAAGATGATTTACTAGATGAAGAAGATAAAAAGAAACCAGATCCAGAGTCTTTAAGAGGTAAATTTATCTTAAATGATCATTAAATCCCAAAATCGATTGTAATATTATTCTATTCATAGTTTGTGGCACTACTGGCAAACGTAAGGCCTGTAAAGATTGTTCCTGCGGCTTGGCTGAAGAATTAGAAGCTGAAAAATCTAAAACTAAAGTTGAAACACAAAACGCCAAATCCAGTTGTGGCAGTGTAGGTTTTTTTTATTTGATTCTCCAGTATTTGGAATAGTATTTAAAGTATTTTTATATTCCCTATTATTTTAGTGTTATTTGGGCGATGCTTTCCGCTGTTCCACTTGCCCCTATCTGGGTATGCCCGCTTTTAAACCAGGCGAGAAAGTACAATTGGCCGGAAATCTTTTGAACTCTGATATTTGATTTGATGCTAGACTTATTAATGTTTATACTTAAAAAATTTTCTAAAAATAATTCCCACTACATTTAAAAGAAACATAAACTAAATTTTACAAATCTATTGAGATTTTTATATAATTTTTCATATAAAGAACTAAAGTCGATACAGCCAAAAATCGATTTTTGGTGGAAGATATGAGTGATCACAGATTTTCACTATTTTCTCAATTGGAGCGTTGTTTAAGAAACTACAGCCGATTTTAAGTTTTTCATATAAAAATCGATTTTTGGTGGGAAATATGAGTGATCACAGATTTTCACTATTTTCTCAATTGGAGCGTTATTTAAGAAACTACAGCCGTTTTTAGGTTTTTCATATAAAAATCGATTTTTGATGGGAAATATGAGTGATCACAGATTTTCATTATTTTCTCAATTGGAGCGTTATTTAAGAAACTACAGCCGATTTTAAGATTTCTTATATAAAAATCGATTTTTGATGGGAAATATGAGTGATCACAGATTTTCACTATTTTTTCAATTGGAGCGTTATTTAAGGAACTACAGCCGATTTAAGATTTCTTATATAAAAATCGATTTTTGATGGGAAATATGAGTGATCACAGATTTTCACTATTTTCTCAATTGGAGCGTTATTTAAGACTCTACAGCCGATTTTAAGTTTCTTATATAAAAATCGATTTTTAGTGGGAAATATGAGTGATCACAGATTTTCTCTTTTTTCTCAATTAGAGCGTTATTTAAGAAACTACAGCCGATTTTAGGTTTTTCATATAAAAATCGATTTTTGATGCGAAATATGAGTGATCACAGATTATCACTATTTTCTTGATTAGATCGTTATTTAAGAAACTACAGCCGTTTTTAAGTTTTTCATATAAAAATCGATTTTTGGTGGCAAATATGAGTGATCACAGATTATCACTATTTTCTTGATTAGATCGTTATTTAAGAAACTACAGCCGATTTTAGGTTTTTCATATAAAACTCGATTTTTCATGGGAAATATGAGTGATCACAGATTTTCACTATTTTCTCAATTGGAGCGTTATTTAAAAAACTACAGCCGTTTTTAGATTTTTCATATAAAAATCGATTTTTGGTGGGAAATATGAGTGATCACAGATTATCACTATTTTCTTGATTAGATCGTTATTTAAGAAACTACAGCCAATTTTAGGTTTTTCATATAAAAATCGATTTTTGGTGGGAAATATGAGTGATCATAGATTTTCACTACTTTCTCAATTGGAGCGTTATTTAAGGAACTACAGCCGATTTAAGGTTTTTCATATAAAAATCGATTTTTGGTGGGAAATATGAGTGATCATAGATTTTCACTACTTTCTCAATTGGAGCGTTATTTAAGGAACTACAGCCGTTTTTAGGTTTTTCATATAAAAATCGATTTTTGATGCGAAATATGAGTGATCACAGATTATCACTATTTTCTTGATTAGATCGTTATTTAAGAAACTACAGCCAATTTTAGGTTTTTCATATAAAAATCGATTTTTGGTGGGAAATATGAGTGATCATAGATTTTCACTATTTTCTCAATTGGAGCGTTATTTAAGAAACTACAGCCGTTTTTAGGTTTTTCATATAAAAATCGATTTTTTGTGGGAAATATGAGTGATCATAGATTTTCACTACTTTCTCAATTGGAGCGTTATTTAAGGAACTACAGCCGATTTAAGGTTTTTCATATAAAAATCGATTTTTGGTGGGAAATATGAGTGATCACAGATTTTCACTATTTTCTCAATTGGAGCGTTATTAAAGAAACTACAGCCGTTTTTAGGTTTTTCTTATAAAAATCGATTTTTGGTGGGAAATATGAGTGATCACAGATTGTCACTATTTTCTCAATTGGAGCGTTATTTAAGGAACTACAGCCGATTTAAGATTACTTATATAAAAATCGATTTTTGATGGGAAATATGAGTGATCTCAGATTTTCACTATTTTTTCAATTGGAGCGTTATTTAAGAAACTACTGCCGTTTTTAAGTTTTTCATATAAAAATCGATTTTTGGTGGGAAATATGAGTGATCACAGATTATCACTATTTTCTTGATTAGATCATTATTTAAGAAACTACAGCCGATTTTAGGTTTTTCATATAAAAATCGATTTTTGGTGGAAAATATGAGTGATCACAGATTGTCACTATTTTCTCAATTGGAGCGTTATTTAAGGAACTACAGCCGATTTAAGATTTCTTATATAAAACTCGGTTTTTAGTGGGAATTAAGAGTGATCACAGATTTTCACTATTTTCTCAATTGGAGCGTTATTTAAGAAACTACAGCCCATTTTAAGTTTCTTATATAAGAATCGATGTTTTTTGGGAAATATGAGTGATCACAGATTATCACTATTTTCTCGATTGGAGCGTTATTTATGAAACTACAGCCGATTATAGATTTCTTATATAAAAATCGATTTTTGGTGGGAAATATGAGTGATCACAGATTTTCACTATTTTCTCAATTGGAGCGTTATTTAAGGAACTACAGCTGATTTAAGGTTTTTCATATAAAAATCGATTTTTGGTGGTAAATATGAGTGATCACAGATTATCACTATTTTATCAATTGGAGCGTTATTTAAGAAACTACAGCCGTTTTTAGGTTTTTCATATAAAACTCGATTTTTGGTGGGTGAGTGATCACAGATTTTCACTATTTTCTCAATTGGAGCGTTATTTAAAAAACTACAGCCGTTTTTAGATTTTTCATATAAAAATCGATTTTTGGTGGGAAATATGAGTGATCACAGATTTTCACTATTTTCTTAATTGGAGCGTTATTTAAGGAACTACAGCCGATTTTAGGTTTCTTATACAAAAATCGATTTTTGGTGGGAAATATGAGTGATCACAGATTTTCACTATTTTCTTGATTGGAGCGTTATTTAAGAAACTACAGCCGATTGTAGGTTTTTCATATAAAAATCGATTTTTGGTGGGAAATATGAGTGATCACAGATTTTCACTATTTTCTCAATTGGAGCGTTATTTAAGAAACTACAGCCGTTTTTAGGTTTTTCATATAAAAATCGATTTTTTGTGGGAAATATGAGTGATCATAGATTTTCACTACTTTCTCAATTGGAGCGTTATTAAAGAAACTACAGCCGGTTTTCGATTTTTGATGCGAAATATGAGTGATCACAGATTTTCACTATTTTCTCAATTGTAGCGTTATTTAAGAAACTACAGCCGATTTTAAGTTTTTCATATAAAAATCGATTTTTGGTGGGAAATATGAGTGATCACAGATTTTCACTATTTTCTCAATTGTAGCGTTATTTAAGAAACTACAGCCGATTTTAAGTTTTTCATATAAAAATCGATTTTTGGTGGGAAATATGAGTGATCACAGATTTTCACTATTTTCTCAATTGGAGCGTTATTTAAGAAACTACAGCCGATTTTAGGTTTTCTATATGAAAATCGATTTTTAGTGGGAAATATGAGTGATCACAGATTTTCACTATTTTCTCAATTGGAGCGTTATTTAAGGAACTACAGCTGATTTAAGGTTTTTCATATAAAAATCGATTTTTGGTGGTAAATATGAGTGATCACAGATTATCACTATTTTATCAATTGGAGCGTTATTTAAGAAACTACAGCCGTTTTTAGGTTTTTCATATAAAACTCGATTTTTGGTGGGTGAGTGATCACAGATTTTCACTATTTTCTCAATTGGAGCGTTATTTAAAAAACTACAGCCGTTTTTAGATTTTTCATATAAAAATCGATTTTTGGTGGGAAATATGAGTGATCACAGATTTTCACTATTTTCTCAATTGGAGCGCTATTTAAGAAACTACAGCCGTTTTTTAGGTTTTTCATATAAAAATCGATTTTTGGTGGGAAATATGAGTGACAGATTTTCACTATTTTCTCAATTGTAGCGTTATTTAAGAAACTACTGCCGATTTTAAGTTTTTCATATAAAAATCGATTTTTGGTGGGAAATATGAGTGATCACAGATTTTCACTATTTTCTCAATTGGAGCGTTATTAAAGAATCTACCACCGATATTCTAGAAATGAATTTAATTTTTTCCATTTTATTTCCTCCCTTAACAATTTATTGTAAAACCTAAAAATTATATCCTTATTTTATAATTTCTTTTGTATAATTCACAATAGTTTATATAAATCACAATAATTTATTTTTATAAAAGAAGAATTTAAAAATCCCTTAAAACTAAATACGTTTATTTCGATTTCTTAAAAAATAAAAATCATTAGCATCCTTTAGATTTTACATTTGACATGTAGTTCCCTTAATTAATTCCTTATTATTACCCATCAATACACGATAATTGACTGCAGCAGGATCCAATTCCTTATACAAATATGTGGGCATTTTATCGGATAAAACCCAGATAGTGCCTTCAGCATCGATTTTCAAATCATTGGGAAATACCAAAGTATGAGAATCAGAATCTATCAGACCCTGATTATCGGGTGTATAGGGTTTCTTAACATTCCAACAGGCTATGGCATCCTTATTGACTTGGGTATAGAAAATAACACCAGTTTCCTTGTCATAAACCTCAGCAGTAGATTGACCATTCATGCCACGATCGCCTACATATTTGAAATCGTAATATGAATTGGGACTGGTGGCTAGAGTTTCGTTTTGCAAAACATGATTAGACACCTTAAATTCTTTAGTACTGGCCAAAGCATGGAAATAGATATCCTTAGAATGATCTGGATTCATGGGACCCACCGCCAAGCCGAAAACGCCATCAGTCCATTGGAAATTAACACCACCCACATTAAAGTCACCTTGTAAAGGATCGAAATGGAAGAAATTATGTTTGACACGATAAGAATGGTCATTGCGGAAGGAGTAAACTACCACACCATAAGCACCCAAATCGGGAACGTAAGCATAAGCATTATTGCACTCCGAACGATCAGAATCTACAATCTGTTAAGGAAATATACTTTAATTAATATAGTTTTGATTAAATTGTTAAGATCACTTACAATATTGGCAAAAAATGAATCCTGTTTAATTTGCTCTTTGGGTATGTTAAATCTACGTATCAATTTGTCTGTTTTCAAATCAAATATTACTATAGCATTGCCGGTTACTTGCTTGCCTTCGCCCAAAATATCGGCCAAACCGGTGTCTAATACCCACAAACGATCGCAATGATCTGCGTGAATACGGAAGGTAGAAATTATGGTTGAATTGTCTTTTAGTTTATAGCCATCTTCAATTTTTTCTTTGGGCACCTTGTTAGCCTCCCAACTGGGATAGGGCATTAGTTTGGGAGATTTATCGTTCGAATTTAGATCTACATAATTAAGAGTGGATGCAACTCCAGCCTTCCATCTGAAAAAGAAAAGAGGGAAAATATTTAATGCTTGTTTAAAATTTGATCATATTTGGATTATAGTTTGAGTCTAATATGGATTATAGTTTAGACTATAGTCAGGTCCATAGTCTGGTTTTCAGTCTACTTCATAGTCTAGTCTATAGTGTACTCCCTAGTAGGGACTATAGTCTATAGTTTAGTACGGTCTTTAGTCTGGACAATAATCTAATCTATCGTTTGAAATATAATTTGATCTATAGTCTGAACTATAGTATAGGCTATAATCCGAACTATAATCTAGTATATAGTATAGTCTATAGTCTGGACTTTGGTATAGTCTATAATCTGTACTATAGTCTCATCTATAGTCTGGACTATAGTGTAGTCTACAGTCTGGACTATAGTTTAGTCTATAGTCTGGACTATAGTCTAGTCTATATTCTGGTCTATATTCTGGATTATAGTCTAGTATATAGTCTGGACTATAGTCTAGTCTATAGTCTGGACTATAGGCTAGTCTATAGTCTAGACTATAGTCTAGACTATAGTCTGGACTATAGTCTAGTCTAGTCTAGTCTATAGTCTGGACTATAGTCTAGTCTATAGTCTGGACTATAGTCTAGTCTGGACTATTAAGACAATAATCTAGTCTATCGTTTGAAATATAATTTGATCTATAGACTGAACTATAGTATAGGCTATAATCCGAACTATAATCTAGTATATAGTATAGTCTATAGTCTGGATTTTGGTATAGTCTATAATCTGTACTATAGTCTAGTCTATAGTCTGGACTATAGTCTAATCTATAGTCTGGACTATAGTGTAGTCTACAGTCTGGACTATAGTCTAGTCTATAGTCTGGACTATAGTTTAGTCTATAGTCTGGACTATAGTCTAGTCTAGTCTATATTCTGGTCTATATTCTGGATTATAGTCTAGTATATAGTCTAGTCTATTGTCTGGACTATAGTCTAGTCTATAGTCTGGACTATAGACTAGTCTATAGTCTAGACTATAGTCTAGTCTAGTCTATAGTCTGGACTATAGTCTAGTCTATAGTCTGGACTATAGTCTAGTCTATAGTAGGGACTATAGGCTAGTCTATAGTCTGAACTATAGTCTAGTCTATGGTCTGGACTATAGTCTAGTCTATAGTCTGGACTATAGTCTATAGTCTGGGCTATAGTCTAGTCTATAGTCTGGATAATAGTCTAGTCTATAGTCTGGACTATAGTCTAGTCTATAGTCTGGACTATAGTCTAGTCTATAGTCTGGACTATAGTCTAGTCTATAGTTTGGACTATAGTCTAGTCTATAGTTTGGACTATACTATAGACTATAGTACAGTCTATAGTCTGGACTATAATCTAGTTTATAGCCTGGACTATAGTCTAGTCAATAGTCTGGACTATAGTCTAGTCTACAGTCTGGACTATAGTCTAGACTATAGTCCACACTATAGTCTGGACTATAGTCTAGTCTATAGTCTGGACTATAGTCTAGTCTATAGTCTGGACTATAGTCTAGTCTATAGTCTGCACTATAGTCTAGTCTATAGTCTGGACTATAGTCTAGTCTATAGTCTGGACTATAGTCTAGTCTATAGTCTGGACTATAGTCTAGTCTATAGTCTGGACTATAGTCTAGTCTATAGTCTGGACTATAGTCTAGTCTATAGTTTGGACTATAGTCTAGTCTATAGTTTGGACTATAGTCTAGTCTATAGTCAGGACTATAGTCTATTCTATAGTCTGGACTATAGTCTAGTCTATAGTCTGGACTATAGTCTAGTCTATAGTCTGGACTATGGTTAAGTCTATAGTCTGGACTATAGTCTAGTCTATAGTCTGGACTATAGTCTAGTCTATAGTCTGGACTATAGTCTAGTCTATAGTCTGTACTATAGTCTAGTCTATAGTCTGGACTATAGTGTAGTCTATAGTCTAGTCTATAGTCTGGACTATAGTCTAGTCTATAGTCTGGACTATAGTCTAGTCTATAGTCTAGTCTATAGTCTGGACTTATAGTCTAGTCTATAGTCTGGACTTATAGTCTAGTCTATAGTCTGGTCTATAGTTCTATAGTCTGGACTATAGTCTAGTCTATAGTCTGGACTATAGTCTAGTCTATAGTCTGGACTATAGTCTAGTCTATAGTCTGGACTATAGTCTAGTGTACAGTTTGGAATTTAGTATACTCTATAGTCTATCATATAGTCTGGAATATAGTCTAGTATATAGTATTGCCTATAGTTTAGTTTATAGTATGGGCTATGGTCTAGTAGTCTGTACTATATTATAGTCTATAGTCTGGAGTATAGTCCTATAGTCTGGATTATAAACTATAATATAGTCCAGACTATAAATTAGACTATAGGCAAGACTATATACTAGACTATATTCTGGACTATAGTCTAGTATGTAGTATAGACTATAGCCTAATCTATACCATAATCTAGTCTACAGTCTAATTTTTGTAGTAATTGCTATTGTTCTCAGTAAAACAGGTTAGAGAAATATTAGAGCAAACATTGTTATAGAATCTGTTTTGGGAATTTCCTGATAAAACATTTATTATTTATTCATTTTGCGTAAAATTTTTGAATATTTCTTAGAAGGGACAATTTACTCAGCATTACAAAATGTTAACAGCAAAGTGTGCTGTGGTGGGACTAAAGAGTTTAAAAGATACATTTTCTTAAAGTAGTTTTATAAATTGTTAAATATTATTATTTTTTTATTTTTAATTTTCGGTTATTGTTAAAAAAACGACTCTCAGTGGATGCGGTATTAAATGTATTTATGACACAAAAGGCATGAACTCGTTCATATATTATTACGCCGTTGATTGTTGTCTGTTGATGGGTACGGTGGGGTTAGAGCGGTGGGCTGTTGTGTGGCGGAATGGATGTGTACTTCTGCAGATTATTATGTTTTTTTTTGTTGTTGCTGTTATGTTTTGTCGTTGTTAACCACAATTGGTTAAATTTAATTTCAGTGGTTTTATTGTTTGCATATAAAATTTGGAGGTTTTCATGTATGTGGTGGCAGTTTCAATTTAGTTTCTTTTGAATATTTCTGCTTAATTCTTTCAGTTCTTTCCTTTTCCACAGACCGAAACTACCAAATGACACTTGAGAGTTGATTGTGTTGGTTAACTTCTTTTTTTTTTTAGTGCAGCTGCTTTAAAATGCCGTGTGTAATCAATTTATTTTAAAGGTTAACCGTAATGTTTAAGTGTATTTACGTTTAGTATTTAAAGTTTTATACAAAAAATTGTTTTGATTAATAAGTTAATTTGGCTGCTGTGTAATATTTACAGAGAATAATAAAAACCAGATTTTGTGTTTTTTAATTGTAATTTAATTATACATATGTACATACATATGTATGTATGTAAGTAAGTACTTTAATTTGGTTTTTAACGAAAAAAAAAATTTGTGTGTGTTCTAGGAAATTAAAAAATTAAAGCTGATTATAATTACCGGCAAATAACTGTTTTCATAATTTGTAAAAAATTTGGTAAATATTGTGGAAAAGGTTCTATGGACAGTTTAATTCTAATTTGAAATCATAAATTATCATGCATGACCAATCAAAGACTACAGTCTTTGACATTGTTTACAATATAGTCTAGTCTTAGGGACTATATCTATAGTCCTGGACTATAACCTAGTTAATAGTCCAGTCTATAGTATGGACTGTAGATTAGTCCATAGTCTGGAATGCATTCGAGTCCTGCTATAGTCTAGTTCTATAGTCTAGTCTATGTCTAGTCTATAGTCAGTCTATAGTCTAGTCTATAGTCTAGTCTATAGTCTAGTCTCTAGTCTAGTCTAGTCTAGTCTATAGTCTATATAGTCTAGTCTATAGTCTAGTCTATAGTCTAGTCTATAGTCTAGTCTATAGTCTAGTCTATAGTCTAGTCTATAGTCTAGTCTATAGTCTAGTCTATAGTCTAGTCTATAGTCTAGTCTATAGTCTAGTCTATAGTCTAGTCTATAAGTCTAGTCTATAGCTAGTCTAAGTCTAGTCATAGTCTATAGTCTAGTCTATAGTCTAGTCTATAGTCTAGTCTATAGACTAGTCTATAGTCTAGTCTATAGTCTAGTCTATAGTCTAGTCTATAGTCTAGTTTATAGTCTAGTCTATAGTCTAGTCTATAGTCTAGTTTATAGTCTAGTCTATAGTCTAGTCTATAGTCTAGTCTATAGTCTAGTCTATAGTCTAGTCTATAGTCTAGTCTATAGTCTAGTCTATAGTCTAGACTATAGTCTAGTCTATAGTCTAGTCTATAGTCTAGTCTATAGTCTAGACTATAGTCTAGTCTATAGTCTAGTCTATAGTCTAGTCTATAGTCTAGTCTATAGTCTAGTCTATAGTCTAGTCTATAGTCTAGTCTATAGTCTAGTCTATAGTCTAGTCTATAGTCTAGTCTATAGTCTAGTCTATAGTCTAGTCTATAGTCTAGTCTATAGTCTAGTCTATAGTCTAGTCTATAGTCTAGTCTATAGTCTAGTCTATAGTCTAGTCTATAGTCTAGTCTATAGTCTAGTCTATAGTCTAGTCTATAGTCTAGTCTATAGTCTAGTCTATAGTCTAGTCTATAGTCTAGTCTATAGTAGTAGCTATGTTAGTCTATAGTCTGTCTATAGTCTAGTCTATAGTTAGTCTATAGTCTAGTCTATAGTCTAGTCTATAGTCTAGTCTATAGCTAGTCTATAGTCTAGTCTATCGTCTAGTCTATAGTCTAGTCTAGTCTAGTCTATAGTCTAGTCTATAGTCTAGTCTATAGTCTAGTCTATAGTCTAGTCTAGTCTAGTCTATAGTCTAGTCTATAGTCTAGTCTATAAGTCTAGTCTATAGTCTATAGTTCTAGTCTATAGTCTAGGTATAGTATAGTCTATAGTCTGTCTATAGTCTAGTCTATAGTCTCGTCTATAGTCTAGTCTATAGTCTAGTCTATAGTTAGTTATAGTCTATAGTCTATAGTCTATAGTCTAGTCTATAGTCTAGTCTATAGTCGAGTCTATAGTCTAGTCTATA